CAGGGTTTAGGGTCTAGGGTGTTGCAAGTCCTGGACCCTAGGTTAATGCAGGCCCTGATTGACCTCCCAATACTTAACAAACCCTAAACCCTAAACCCTAAACCCTAAACCCTTAAACCCTAAACCCTAAACCCTTAAACCCTAAACCCTAAACCCTTAAACCCTAAACCCTAAACCCCTATTAACCTCTGACTGGCAGGCGGTTTCTTGGTCAGGGTTCTTGGACTCTTGTCAGGGATCCTTAAAAAAGGTGATCCTTGAAGGGTTCCTTAAAGGGATCTATGGGGGTTGAGGGTTTAGTTTCATGGCCTTTAAAAGAATCCGTGTGAAACCTTTATCTTTCGAACTCTAGACCCCAAACCCCACCTACAAAGCCTCTAGACCCTAAAAGCTCCTTGAAGGGTTCCTTAAAGGGATCTAAGGGATCTATGGGGGTTTAGGGTTTAGGGTCATGGCCTTTACAGGACCCCAAACCCCACCTACATAGCCTCTAGACCCTAAAAGCTTTGAGCCCTAAACCCTGAACGAAGCCCTGAACCCTAAACCCGAAGCCTTGATTTATACACGAACTAACTGAGAATATGGTATATATTACTCTACTATTCTACGGTATGTATTCTTCTACAATTCTACAAACTGCATGGTAGATGCCCACATATCACCATATCTTAAGCGGAACCTCTGGCCTGGAGTAGAACGGCCCTGCCACGTTGCCACCATGGCCGCTGTAGAGCTTGTAGAGATCCGGCGCATGGAAGTATCCTTAGCTGCTTAGAGGATCATGGGGCTTAGTAAGTAAGGTTATAAGTAGGATATAATTAGGATAACCCCACTTTAGGGGACTTATAACCCTAATTATCACCTACTTACTAAGTCCCATGATCCTCTAAGTGGATTCCTGTTAAGGAATACCATCAGGAAGCCCTATTACTTACCATAGCTCCCTTTAAGGGTAATGCAATCCTTAGGTGCTTACCGTTTGGGGCGTAGGGCTCCCGAGCGTTGAGGTCCAAAAACTTCTTGGTTCAGGGCTTTTGAGCGTATAGAACTACCTTTAAGGTTCAGGGTCTAGAGTTTAGGGTTCAGGGCATACTATTGTGGGTGTTCCTTATCCTGGTGTTATAGTATACTATACCTCCAAACCCTGTTCTAGTTAGTAGGGCTGAGGGCTTCTGGGGTTTGGGGTTTGGCGTGCAGGAAATTCTTGCTGAGTCAAACACCTACACGACCGTTTCCGTCAACGTGCATGGCAGCTTCGCTCAAGCAGACCTCTAAAGTCCTAAACTTCTGAATTCTGAAACTCTAACCTGATTGCCTAAACCACGAGCCATCGTACCATGCCTGGAGAAGCCTTGAAAAGCCTGCTTCGCTTGGGGTGTAGGCTTCGGTTGAAGGTTTTGTTTCCACAAATGGCCAAGAAACCAGCGTCGATTTGAACCAGCATGGTGCAACAATCAGGCGTTTAAAAGTTAAGGACATTGACTCTAAACCCAAAACCTTAAATCCTAAACCCTGAACCTGTGGTGATAATGAAACAAAGAGAAACTCCGAAACAAATGAATCCAGAAAGACTCTCGGTTCAGTCTCAAAGGGGGATTGCCAGGCTTCGCTAGAGTTTTGGCCTAGGGGCAACTTGCTCTGCAAAGGGTACTATGGGTTCACAATGGGATTCTATAATAGGCGCATTTAAAGGGCACTTGGGGGTTCTATAAAGGACCCCCTTACAGGGTACTATGGCGTTCAATAAAAGGCACCCTTAAAGGGTACTCTGGGGTTCTATAAAAGCCCCGCTTAAAGGGTACTCTGGGATTCTATAAAAGGCCCGCTTAAAGGGTACTATGGGGTTCTATAAAGGGTACTTTAAGAGGCCCCTTTACGGCTCTTGAACAGATCCGGAGAGGGCTCGGGTTCCGTAAGGGGTGCGATCCCAGACCACCGCCGGGAGGATCTAAGAAAGTAGATCCCCTAATTTGGGGCCCTATATTACGAAGGGTACTTTCTAGGAACCCCCTTTAAGAAATCTACTTTTTGGATTTTTCCGGGGGTCTGGGATAGGGTTAAGCCTCGGCTTGTAAGGCGAGGGCTCTTGCCTTGGCTGGTCTCAGTTTTGCGAAGCTCGCGGAGATAGCAACTTGTGATACTGCTTGTTGGGTGCTCCTTTGTACAAGTACAGCACAGCTTATATACCCTAAAATGGAAGCTTGAGTACTTAGGCATAATGCTTTGGTGGGTCTCGTTCTTCAAAACGGCTCCCAAAAACACCTCTAATTGTTAAAGCCCTGACCATTGCAAAACCCTTACAGTAACAAGGACCCTCTTTCCAGTATTACGGCACCTAAAGCAATATTCAACCCTTATAGAACCTTTTGCAAGGACCCTCTTTTAATTGTTACGGCACCTAAAGTAAGAGCGAGAAAGTTGGAATATCATTATCGTAACCCCTTTAAGGTAAATTATAGGGGATCCTACCCTGAAACCATATTCCAACTTTCTGGAGTTCCCTTTAAAGTAATAACCCTAAACCCTAAACCCTAAAAGCCAAGAGTCGTGCATGTGCCAGGGGAGTGTCTCCCTCGGAGTCACCTGCTGCTTCGCGCTCACGTAGGGTTTAGGGTTTAGGGCTCACGTCTAACCGTTTCGGGTTTGGGGCTTTGGGGTATCGTAGACTGCTTGGCTTTACCTTATCTTGGGGTCCTTCAAATAAGGATCTACTATCTAGGGTACCATATTAGGGTCCCCCATTTTAAGTCGAAGGTGGGGTTTGGGCAGAAGAAACAAGCCTGAAATCGACACCCTCAGCGAAGCAACCCTCATGCCCTCGAACCCTTCCGAAACAAGTTGTCAAAGCTGCAGCTCACATGCTGACACCCCAAATCCTCAAAATCCTGGACCGTACACCTGACCTAAATCCTGTACATGAACCCAACCTGAGCCGTTGTGCCTGCATTTAGGTCCGACTTCTTGTGGATGAGGAGTTGCGCAAGCTCGTACATTCCTGAAGGCAAAGGCAAGGATCATGGAAGACCTCTGTCCGGGACGTCGAGCTCCGGAGCAATAGAGATAGAGAGAAAGAGAGCAAGAGAGAGAGAGAGAGAGTGAGAGTGAGAGTGAGAGTAAAACTGAGACTGAGAGTGAGAGTGAGAGTGAGAGAGGAAGAGAGAGATTTGGTTTTGGGTTTAGAGTTTATAAACCGTAAATAAGCCCTATCTGAAAGCATCCCTTCTGTTAAGAAAATCCTTTGCAAGCCCCTAAACCAGCCCGAAACGTTTGAAGCCTAAACTCCTGACTAAACCGTAACCGTAAACCCTAATGTAGGGGCCTTAATAATTAGAATAGGGTTTTGAAGGCCCGTTATACTATAATCATAAAAAGGAACCCCCCGCCATAACATTGGTAATTATTTAGGCCCCTATATATTAAACAGCACCTGCAAAGTCCAAAGCCAGCCTGGCTGACGGTGATTGGCCGCGCAGGCATGGAGCATTGTTCCAGACTCCTGAGTGCTCCCCACCGCCCCCAAGAGCATAACAGTAGTGCGAAGATACGGTGGAGGCCTCAGATAAATCAGAATAGGGTTTTGGGGTATTTCATACTACACGGAATAGCACCAGGGCTTCTAAGTTAGCAAACAGAAGACGGAACAGGCGCTGGGTGTGTCAGGTGTACCGAAGCTTCTCGGGAAAATCGTTTACATACATTGTTGCACAGGTCGCTCCACGTAATAAAGCGTACCGCTCTTACCAATAAGTAAACAGAACCCTAAACGGAAGCTTAAACAGAACCCCAAACGGAACCCTAAACGGAAAGAGACCCTAAACGGAACACTAAACGGAAACCTAAACGGAACCCTAAACAGGAACCTTAGCGGAACCCTGAGCGGAAACCCAAACGGATTCCTAAACGGAACCTTAAAGGGTTAGGATTTAGGATTTATGGCTTAGGATTTAGGGGTTTAGGGTTTAGAGGCACGTCTCGTAGCTGTACCTCGAAGCGGCACGTTTTACAGCACTTTGGCGACCGAGGTTCCGTCGCGCGGATGCCTTGTCCTTTCAGCATGGGCGAAACCCTGAACCCTGAAGCCTGAAAACCCCAAAAAACCCTGAACCCTAGAAACCCTAAAAACGCCAATATGCCGAAACCCTGAACCCCTGAACCGATTCAAGAAGTATTGGTTGAGGTGCAAGGATGGGGAGCTATATAGGCATCTTGACACCCAATGTCTGACGCAGCTCATGGATGCAGCCGGGGCCAGCACCAGCCCTAAAGGCGAGGATAGGGGTCGGAAGAATTTCTCGTATGACTCCCACCTAGGATACCCAGTGACCTAAGAATAAAAACGACTCTCTTTTTGGTATTGGGTAACTTTATAAGGAACCTAGGACTCCAAAAAAGGGAATAAGGGTACTACTGGGCATCCTAGCCCCTAATTTTCGGAAACCCTCAACCCTTTATAGAACCCTTACAGATCCCTTTAAGGAACCCTTATAGATCCCTTTAAAGGTACCCCTTAATGATTCCCACAATCAGATTTCAAACCATTGAGGCGCCCCTCTATGTTTTTCCAGCAAGCTCCGCAGCTAAGCCACTTCTCGGGTAATCCGGGGGCCTCCAAAACTAGACTATAAGGGATCTATAGTAGGGTTCTATAATATGGGGGCCTCAATAACTAGAATAGGGTTTTGGGGCCCATGATACTAGATTTCTATTGAGAAACCCCTGAAGTGGTATGGGCAAATAAATCGGCCCCTATATCGAGCACACTCGAAAATTGCAGTTCCGGTGGGGGATCTCGCGAAGGAGGATCCTGCGACCTCAAACCGGCCCGGCTGGAGACATGGGTCGGAATAAGTAGTAAGTAGAAAAGGTTTGGGGTAGAATCTACGATCATTATATAGCGACTGAAATGGTATCTAGTTCATCCTACATCCTGCACCAAAAATTCCAGAGGAAGCATCATCGTCTGAGATTGTCAAACCTATGCAGCGGTGCTTGTGCATTGCTTAGCTGTGGCCTCGACGCAACATTGTGTCAGGATCCACACCAGCCACCTCAGCAGAGATCTCCTAAGCCTCAAACTTTGTTGCCTTAGACCCCTACTACTATCAGGGCCTTCAGCAATACCTATACTATTTTGGGTGTTTCCTTGTCCTCATTATAGTATATTATAGCCCAGAATATTACCTACGAATCACTCTGCCCTTGGTCCGTACTATGATCAGTACTTCTGCTCGGGCACCGTTACAGTAACCTTTAAGCAACCTTTAACCCTGAAACAGCACCGGGCACCGGTATGGAGCATTCAGCAATCAGGGGTCTGCAGTAGCCTTGAACCTCTGAAGCCCTAAACCTCCCACTGGAGCATTCAGTAATCAGGGGTCTGCAGAAGCTTTGAACCTCTGAAACCCTAAACCTCCCTGTTAAAGGGGTCTATAAGGGCTACTATGGGATATGTTATACTATAGGGGGCCTTATTGATTAGAGTAGGGGTTCCCTTTTAAAGAGTCTTGGGGCGTGTGGGTTCCAGGGCTTCGATTCGCTGTGGGGCCACCCGTGGAAGACGCAAACTCGGGAGCTCAAGTGCCCGATCTTGGGTTTATCGAGTCTTCATACTACCTAATGTAGGAACCTGATTAAGAAACCTTGGGCCTTTATTAGGGCTCCTTATATGGATCCTACTATTTTGGGCTTATAGGTCCAGGGTTTCTTAATCAGGTTCCTACATTACCATACTTTATGGCATTATTAATAGTACATGATAGCGAGTTATGCTGTAGTCGAAAGTTTACCATGGTTTTGCAATAAGGGGCTTTGTAAGAGTCGGATTCCTTGGCAGCCTCTTTGAAGCCTTGCGGCGATGTGGCGCGCGATCTCCAGGACGTTCGGCGGCTGCGCCGTCCAGGCTGCACCTGGGGTACAGGTTGGAGCCCGGGTTTAGGGTTTAGGGGGTTTAGGTGGTTTAGGGTTTAGGGTTTAGGGGGTTTAGGGTTTAGGGTTTAGGGTTGAAACCCTAAACCCTGACATCACATGGGCAGTTCTCCAGAGGTTTAGGATCCTCTTCAAGGGCGCCGTACGGTTTTGGATAGAGAACTACCCACATCGCCCAAGAACCCCAAAGCCCATAAGCCGTCTAAACCCGAACCCTAGGCTGGCAGTTCGTTTAGGGCTTGGGGTTTAGGGTTTAGGGTTTGGGGCTTAGGAGGGTTTAGGGCTCAAGGGCTTATGGGTCTAGTGTTCTTTAGGGCTTTAGATTGAGGCTTGAGAGCTGAAAGGGCTGATGGGTTTAGGGGTTCAGGCTTTCGGATTTACGGCTTAAGGGCTTATGGGTTTCATGTTCGAGGGCTCTTGGTTTGACGGGCATCGCTGGAGGAGACTGCACAAAATCGAGCAACATGCTCCTGAACCCTAACAACGCGAAAGCCTAAATCAAACAGCTATCTAGATCTGAATAAGAAACCCTTGATTGAAGATCTGTGCTGCTGTTTCTCTTGATGCCAACGCGGCAATGTAGTGACAGGCTAAAAGAACGCACCCAACACCCACCGGGCCCCTCCCTCCCAACCCAGCGAAATCCAAGCCGCCCAGAGCTCAAGACTCTGGGAAGAAACTACAACTCCCCAAACCCCAGACTCTAAACCCTGTAGGGTTTAGGGTGTAGGGCTCAGGGTATGGAGCCGGCACAGAATCAGAAGACAGCCGAAAGCCCTCTCTGCTCCCTTCTGCGGCCCCAAGGGGCCAAGCTCGGAAGAGGGGCTCAAATCCTCGGAAGTCGCGGCTTCTGGAAATCAGAGGGGAAAAGGAGGGACCCTTAACGGGGACCCCTACTTGGAGCGTCGGAGGACTTAGTAAGTAGGTAGTAAGTAGACTTATAAGTACCCTGAAAAGGAGCCTAATTGGGGTTATGGTACTTATAAGTCCCTAAAATAACCAGTTACTAAGTCCCCCGACCCTCCAAGTACCCTATAATGGGCTATATAACGGGTATATATTGGCTCTATTAAGGATATATACCTAGGGGTCCTTATTAAGGGTCCCCCCTTTCACCCTTGGAGGAAAGGAGTTTCCAAAAATAGGGGACGGTAGGGCTCCCTTAAAGGCTTACTATACAAGACTAGTTCCTCTAAAGGCTCTATAAGGGTTCAGACTTTCCGAAAAGAGGGGACCCTGGTGTAGTACCCTAAATAGCAGGATCCTTATTATAAGGACCCCAAAATACAATACCCCCTAATTTTCGGACACTCCCATAAAGGACCCTAAACCCTAAAAGGTTGCTAATTACCGGTAGAAGGCTTGCTGCACTTTCTTATTGCTGTCAGTGTTCTTGTCGTTGTTGGTATAGCTATTGGTATTGTGATTATTGCTTGCATAAGCAAGCTATGTCAGGGGTTCAAGCTGAGTTAAAGGAGTGACGCCTACGAGCTCAGGATTTTAGCCTATCTACACACACACTCTCTCTCTCTCTCTCTCTCTCTCTCGCTTTCTCTCTCAAACCCCGGATGCAAAGTTTCAAGCAGACCCCGACTTCCTACATCGGCAGGACATTTTGGGATCCCTATAATAATCTTACTGAGTTGGCTGTGAAGCAAAGGAGGAGGTCTACATGGGTGGTTGTCAACATTGGGGTCCCTTTTTGGGTCCCTTTTTGATAATCCGGCACCTAATATATTCAGGGCCTTTAGGGTACCCAACAAGGGACCCTAATTTTGACAACCATCCATACATCAACAGTAACACTCTTCCCTGAAGATTATTAGTTTTCATAGTATCCTAGACCCCCCACGCCCCGTCCCATTCTCCATTAGGTACCCCTAATTTTCGGAAACTCCCACAGTTAAGCGACCCTAATATAGTACCCGAAACAATAGGATCCTATTATAAGGACCCCCAATATCAGGTAAACCACCCACATCTGCAAGGATTCGAGAGTTCAGAGTGTCACTCCAAGACCACAGCTTGTCGGCGCTCTACACCAACCCGGAGAGTCCAACACCCCTCAAATGAGCAATGTACCTTAAACTATGAGGGGCTTAGTATTATGATTTAAGCTATATGCCTTATTTAAAGGGTATGGCTCTCTCGGAACCCCAGCACACAGCACTCCCCTTTCTGTCGAGTTCCTTGCTCCTAACATTTGCTACATAGAATACGACCATATACTACAATATACCACGATGTACTGCAATAGACTACCCTAGTTGCTGAGTTGACAAGCCCCAAAAAGTGGATACTTCCAGTTCTATACTTGGAGGGTCGGGGGACTTAGTAAGTAGGTAGCAAGTAGACTTATAAGTACCCTAAAAGGGACCCTAATTGGGGTTATGGTACTTATAAGTCCCTAAAGTAACCAGTTACTAAGTCCCCCGACCCTCCAAGTAAGAGATCACATTATCCCAAAAAGTGTACAGACCTTCTCGCTTCAGCTTTAGGGGCCCTTTTGGACACCCTTGTCCTTTTAGAAGTAATAGACAGAGCCCTATACCTATATCCCTTAGTAGGAATTATTTAAGAAGGTCTACTAGCCGGTCTGTTTATTCTTTTGATGGAACCATGAAAAAGGACAAGGCCGCTTTTGGATGAGGTCCTGGTGCTGGGCCTTCGGGGTCTAAGCTTTTTGGCTTTGCAAGGGCTTGTCTTTCAAGCACCGGCTTAGGGTTTACGGTTGAGGGGCCTTGGGCTTGGGGGTTTAAGGGTTTAGGGGTTTAGGATTGAAACCCTTAAGGGTTTAGGGTGTAGGGCTTAGGGTTCAGGGTTTGGGGTTTGGGGTTGAGGGTTTGGGGTTTAAGGCCCCGTTCTGTGATGAAGAAGGCCATGGCACCATCTCTTTGGCACCCAGCTGTCGGAAATCTCGGGCCAGATCCTCGCGTCCTGGTGCAGGTTCTTTGCATCAGGATAGGTACGGTTCAGGGTTCAGGAATTTTTTTTATTTTTTATGGCACTATACTAACTCCATGTAGCTTCGCTTGCAGATAATCATGAAAGTAGCTCAGATCAATCTCGTCGGGTTCGGAACCTCACGGTCAAACCCCGCAACAGCAACTAACAGCTCATGTCACTCTCGAGGCTCCCTTCCTTGCCCTTGCCGATGCCCATAGCCATCCCCGTAAAGTAGTGAACCCTAAACCTTACTAGGAGGGTCGGGGGACTTAGTAACTGGTTATTTTAAGGACTTATAAGTACCATAACCCCAATTAGGGTCCCTTTTAGGGTACTTATAAGTCTACTTACTACCTACTTACTAAGTCCCCCGACCCTCCAAGTAACCCCCAAACCAAGCGGATCCGATCCCGAAACGTCATTCCGAAAAAATCCGCCAGCACACTTCGCCGCTCTGAAGTCTTCTCTGGCAAACGACTCCCGAGCCTGAAACCTCCCTTGCGGCCCCCGTTTAGGGTTTAGGGTTTAGGGTTTTGGGAGTTAGGGTTTAGGGTTTAGGGTTTTGGGAGTTAGGGTTTAGGGTTTAGGGTTTAGGGAAAAAGCAATGGCACCCTTACAGCAACCATTACGACGACGCCCGGTAGTAATCCAGATGGTGCCCCTCAATACACCTTACGGCGCCACACCCTAAACACCCTGAACCCCAAACGCCTAAACCCTCAACCCTGAACCCCAAACCGTAAAGCCTAAATCCCTGAAGCCCTAAACTCTATGGTACCTTTTCTCTTGTGCCTATAGCCAGGGCCATGAAAAGGGGCGTCAAGCCCCCGCAGACTTGGCGGACGGCGTCCTCCTGAATTTCTTATTCTTCAGACTAGGCTTCAGGCTCAGGGTTGAGGGTTTAGGGTTCAAGGCTTTGGGTTTACAGGGAACTCCAGAAAGTTGGAACATGGTTTCAGGGTAGGATACCCTATAACTTACCATAAAGGGTTTAGGATAATCATATTCCAACTTTCTGGCTTTTACCTTAGGGTGTAGGGTCAAGGGTTTAAGGCTTTGGGTTTTGGGGTTTAGGGTTTAGGGTCCAGGGTTCTTCGGATGAAGTTTTGGGTACTCGCTGGGGCTTACCATAAAGGGAGCTTAGTAAACCCCAACAAGTTGGAAACCGGATCAAGGACAACTGGTGCTGCGATTCACGAAACATTACTCTTAAGGTTCGAGGCTGTTGGGTTTCCAAGTTTTTGGCTTCCACTGTAGGTCCCCCTTAAATGTTACTATGGGGTTCCATAGCAGAGGGTTACAACAAGATTGCCCGTTGATGTTGGAAAAATGCTCAGGCTGTAACACGAGCGCGAAGTCAAGGAGTTCAAGGTACGACGCGGCTTGCTACAATTAAAGTCCGGAAATCATATCATTTACTGCAGACTCTCTGTGGTAACTTACATTACACCCTTTAAGAAGAGCCCAGTAGAAACTATGGAAAACCCTGCCCAACCCAGCCCACCGCCCAGCAAATGGTGATCAACGGGCCCGCCACCTAAAGCCCCCCCCAAATTATGCGCCCCTCAACTTAACCCCAACCCAAAAAGCTATCCAAACCAACAACATAAACGTTAACCCCCCCCCCGCCCCCCTCCGTTTGCCCTCTCTTCTGGGTGCCTGCACCATTTCCTCGTCGCTGTCCGGCGGACTCTGCAACTCAGAATCGCCTTCCTCGGAGGCGCCTCTCCCAGAGATCCCAATACCCCTTAATTAAGGAATATACCTTAAAATATAATAGGACCCCTAATATGATTTAAGGCATATTCCGTAATTAAAGGATATTGGGTTCTCTGGGCTCGAAAGACGCGGCTCGGGTCCAAAAGGGAGGCTCCATGAAGGGTTCTTTTCAGGGCTCCCGGTTTATCAGGATTCTTTTCAGGGCTCCTTCAAGGGTTCGTGTACTGGTTCTTCTTTTGGGTTATTCTGCTGGTTATCATAAGGGTTTAGAGATTTATGGTTTCAGGGGTTAAGAGTTTAAGGGTTTAGGGCTTCGAAGCCCTTTCAGGGTCTAGGGTTGGGTGCTACAGGAGGTCTTCACGGCTTTGGGTTTGGGAGCTTTGGGTTTGAGGCTTCTGTCCCTCGGCTTCTGCGTTGTACTGAAGGTCCTACTACTTCCGGGTCTTCTCACGGAGCTTTTACAGCTTAAGGGAACTGACTGTCAAGGAAACTTTGAAAGGAACCCTCACGTTTGATGGATAGCCTGAAGTATCAGGGTAGGCTTCAGGCTAAGAGGGCTTTGGCCTTTGAAAGTTTTGCCCTAAAAGCCCACCCCTCAACCTCTCCACCGGTGCGACGGCAATCGCACAACGAGTATCCCCAAGAGACCCCATCCGATGGGTTTGGGGATGAGGAATGAAAGTTTTGGGTTTTGGGCCTTAGGGCTTCAGGGTTCTTAGTGTTTTGGGGCTTTGGCGCTTTAGGGCCCCAGAAAAGCACATAAGCAAAAATTAGGATAGGGATATCCCATATAAACCCCCTTATAATGAAGCCCAATAAAGTAGGGATATCCCCGTATAATGCTTATGCTTATGTGCTTTTTGGGTCCCTTATGCTTAAGGCTTTAGGGCTTCAGGGCTTTGGGGTCTCAGGGCTTTTTGAGCTTTAGTGTTTTATGGCTTTAGGGCTTTGGGTTTTGGGGCTTCAGGGCTTTAGGTGTTTTGGTTTTGGGTTTAGGATCGTCTTCGGTCGAAAGGCTTCGGAATGAGGCGGTTTATAGTAGAAGCCAGAAAGTTGGAACATCATCATATTATCCTCATGCCCTTAAGGTAAAGTATAAGGGATCCTAGCACTAATCCTCCTAAAGCCATGTTCCAACTTTCTGGGGATTACAGTAAAGCCCCTATTTTTTGGAACCCTTAATTATAGTAGTCCTTATAACCCCTTTAAAGAAACCCCAAACCCCTATAGGTTTTAGGGCTTCTACTACTTGGAGTTTCGGAGCCTGATCCGTCCTCTCCGTCTTCGAGATTCTCGTCTTTCTCATCCTTCGAGTCCTCGCAACCCAGAGAGCCCAATACCCCTTGATTAAGGAATACAGCTAAAATCATAATATTAAGCCCCTTTTACTTCACGGTATATGCTTAATTAAGGGGTGTTGGGCTCTCTGGGGGAGAAGGGGGCGCGGAGGTGGGGGACTACACTTTCCTGAATAGGCCTTATTAGGGCCTTATGGTGGGCATTGCGGCCACCTACTCCCCCAAGGGTCCCTATGACAAGTGGTGGAAAAGGGATCCGAATGGTGTGAAACTGACATACACGTAGTGTAAACCGCTGATTAGTAAACCCCTCTCCTTTAGAAAAGATCATACACACGTAACGAGACCCCGGATATTCAAGGTATGATGGTTGGATCAAGGCTTGATTTTGCGGCTTGTTTGGAATGTTCATGAGTTCAGGATTTAAGGCTATCTGATCTACCATGTACGCTGTGTCCATGCTCTGCAAGTCATGTAGGGGCCGTAATAATTAGGATAGGTTTGAGGGCTCCTTACTTCAACTATAGTATAATATACCCCACAACCCTATTCTAACTATGAAGGCCCCTATATTATAGAACCCTCATATATAGTAGCCCTTATACAGGGGAGGCCCACTCAAGCGAAGCCAGAATTGCTGGACTTTCTCAGCCCTACATTTGGAGTCGCGCAGCTTGCCGTGTTCACCAACAGTGCAAAGCTTCTCGAACCGTCATTTGTGGGGTTTCGAAACAGAGACGAAGCCTTCCAGAGCCTCTCCCGTGGGGTTCCGAGGCCCTCCGAAGCCTCCCGAGGCCTTATTCGTGGCCTTGATGCGGCCTGTGGGTTTTTGGGGTTGCTTTAGGGTGGGTTTGGGTGGGTTTGACCATATTTGGAAGGGGTGGGTTTGGGTGGGTTTGACCATGCCTAGAAGGGGCTCGGGGGTGGGTTTGCTGGGTTTGGGTGTCTTCGAGAACTTGTTTGGCCAATTTGTTTCTTACCGTGGCCGCTTGGCTGAGAAGGTTTCAGCAGCGGGGGTCTCGGGCCACCATGGAGCGTGCGTCGCCAGAACGAGTCCATCTACACGCCTATCTTCATCTTGCAGTTGCCTTCCAGTGACGTGGACAGGATGCCCTCAACATCTTGCGGCCGCACGTGGCACCAAGGTGCTGTGCGATTTGGTCATGTTTACGTCGTCGCCGACAAGCTTGGGACCTTGTTCCTGGGCAGCAGATGCCGCAGATGCTTAGATGCGTAGTTGAAGGGAACTTCGAGCAAGCTGCGGCTTAAAATTCTACAGGGAGTCAGTTGCGGCCCGAGGCCTGGTGGGGACTCCTCAATTAGTATTATAAAGCCCCAAGTCCCCGAGGCCTCGTAATCTTGCAAGCTAAACGGGTTTCCAGGTTCTGGAAGGCTTCAGATGGGCCTCGAACGGCTTCAAATACTATTAAAGGGGTCACCAGAAGCGTCGGAACGCTGCCTTTCTTCTTTCTGTCCTACAAAGAATTTCAGGCCGCAGCTGGCTCCAAATCCCTCTGGTGGACCCCGGAAAAAGGTTTCAAGAAACTTTGATGATTTTGCAAGCTATAGGCTGTTGCTGACTCCATAAATCTTGGCAGTCGTAGACAGAAGCCTCGATGATCTTGTTGCAGTGATGCCTTCTAATTAAACTCAAAGATCTCGATTGGCCTAAAAAAGCTTCGAGAACCCTCGATGACATTGCAAACTGACGCTGATCTCTAGCGGATATATAAGCAGGATGAAGCACAAGAAATGATGCTGCCGGACGACCCCATTTCTGGGCCCACGAAACGAAAGCAAATCTGGCTTCGCCACCATGGGCCTCCGCAGTGCAATTCCGCTGGTTGTGGCATGTAAGGTGAGCGTGCAGCTGCTTTGGACAAGCCTTCTGGCTTTTTCAATCTTGTGTGTGTGTGTGATGCCCAAAACTGCTGGAACAAAGGCAGGCGCACGCCCGAGATCCAGCTGGTTGGCACCGAACATTTGCGACCCCAAAAATGGGGCCGTTTCGCGGCTTCGAAAACAAGGCTGCGAAATGCGCCCGGCCTCCCTAAATATATAGTCTGAGCATGAGTTGGAGGCCTGGAACCCCGACCCCAAAAATGGGGCCGCCAAACGGCCCCATTTTTGGGGTCGCGAATTCTTCTACTTTGAGGCACGCCCGCCTGACTGCTACGCGACGAGGCGACTGGCGGACAGGCAAGCGTCCATGCAGCTTGGCAAAGACAATCTTGCAGGATTAAGACTTCCATAGCCTGCTTTCTTGTGGAAGCAATCAGCATTGAATTAACATGAAAGAAACAGGCACAGGGGAGGCCCACTCAAGCGAAGCCAGAATTGCTGGACTTTCTCAGCCCTACATTTGGAGTCGCGCAGCTTGCCGTGTTCACCAACAGTGCAAAGCTTCTCGAACCGTCATTTGTGGGGTTTCGAAACAGAGACGAAGCCTTCCAGAGCCTCTCCCGTGGGGTTCCGAGGCCCTCCGAAGCCTCCCGAGGCCTTATTCGTGGCCTTGATGCGGCCTGTGGGTTTTTGGGGTTGGTTTAGGGTGGGTTTGGGTGGGTTTGACCATGTTTAGAAGGCTTGGGTGGGTTTGGGCTGGGTTTGGGCTGGGTTTGGGAAGGGTTTGAGAGGGTTTGGGTGGGTTTGACCATATTTGGAAGAGGTGGGTTTGGGTGGGTTTGACCATGCCTAGAAGGGGCTCGGGGGTGGGTTTGCTGGGTTTGGGTGTCTTCGAGAACTTGTTTGGCCAATTTGTTTCTTACCTTGGCCGCTTGGCTGAGAAGGTTTCAGCAGCGGGGGTCTCGGGCCACCATGGAGCGTGCGTCGCCAGAACGAGTCCATCTACACGCCTATCTTCATCTTGCAGTTGCCTTCCAGTGACGTGGACAGGATGCCCTCAACATCTTGCGGCCGCACGTGGCACCAAGGTGCTGTGCGATTTGGTCATTTTTACGTCGTCGCCGACAAGCTTGGGACCTTGTTCCTGGGCAGCAGATGCCGCAGATGCTTAGATGCGTAGTTGAAGGGAACTTCGAGCAAGCTGCGGCTTAAAATTCTACAGGGAGTCAGTTGCGGCCCGAGGCCTGGTGGGGACTCCTCAATTAGTATTATAAAGCCCCAAGTCCCCGAGGCCTCGTAATCTTGCAAGCTAAACGGGTTTCCAGGTTCTGGAAGGCTTCAGATGGGCCTCGAACGGCTTCAAATACTATTAAAGGGGTCACCAGAAGCGTCGGAACGCTGCCTTTCTTCTTTCTGTCCTACAAAGAATTTCAGGCCGCAGCTGGCTCCAAATCCCTCTGGTGGACCCCGGAAAAAGGTTTCAAGAAACTTTGATGATTTTGCAAGCTATAGGCTGTTGCTGACTCCATAAATCTTGGCAGTCGTAGACAGAAGCCTCGATGATCTTGTTGCAGCGATGCCTTCTAATTAAACTCAAAGATCTCGATTGGCCTAAAAAAGCTTCGAGAACCCTCGATGACATTGCAAACTGACGCTGATCTCTAGCGGATATATAAGCAGGATGAAGCACAAGAAATGATGCTGCCGGACGACCCCATTTCTGGGCCCACGAAACGAAAGCAAATCTGGCTTCGCCACCATGGGCCTCCGCAGTAGTAACCTCGTTACAGGAACCCGATAAGTATAGGTAGCTATCTACAGTACTCAACCACTTCGAGAGACTGTTCCGGACCACCCACCCAATGCCTAAGCTCGCGAAACTCCCTTGTCCTTTTAGAAATGATGGACAGAGCCCTATACCTATATCCCTTAGTAGGAATTATCTAAGGTCTACTAGCCGGTCTGTTTATTCTTTTGGGGGACCATGAAAAAGGACAAGGCTGCGCGACACTCCCAGCTCCTCTTGCGTTCTTGTCTTCGTGTCGAGCTCCTGAGACCAGCACCCTGAACGCTAAACCCTCAGAAGTCTAAGCCCTGTGAATTCACGGTTTAGGGTTTAGTTTAGGGTTTAGAGTAGTGAACCCTAAACCCTGAACCCTGAGGTAGGTTCAGGCTTTAGGGCTTCAGGGCTGCGGCGTGAAAACTTCTGGGACTTGAAAAGGGTTTCGGAAAGCATGTGGTTCAGGTTTAGGATTTAGGGGTTGAGGGTTTAGGGTTTAGGGTTTAGGATTTATGGTTGAGAGTTTTTCGGGCACAACGCTCTCGTGGTCGTTTGCGTGTCGCAAGACTACATCAAGGCTTCATAGGGCTTCACAAAGGCTCGTAAAGGAGTCGTACGGTTGATGATATAAATCCTGCATTACCCATAATAAGGAATATACCATAATTCCCATAGTTTAGGGTCCTTAAGGTAATGCAGGATTTATATCATCAACCGCACGGGGGGAGATCGCCATACGGTCTCTTGCGGTTAATATGCAACTAGTACAGGAGGCTTCTTTCTTTATGCCATAGCTATTATAGGTACGATGGAAATAGCGAATCTTCGGATGATAACATATAGGGACACTAAGGGATGCTGTCACCAATCATTCCGAACCTTATAGGGTAACCCACCGACTGCCATCAAAGTCAACCCAGGCTTGAGGGCGTGGGGCCCTAAGCCCCAAACACCCTGAGAGAGGGTTTAGAGCCTCCCCAGAACCAAACTGCTAAAGCCATTCCGAACCGCTAAAGCCATTCTGAACGACGTAAACCCCCAATCCAAACTCAGCCCTGCACGTTCGACAGATACCCGTAGAAGAAACCCTGGCAGAAACTCTGATAGAAACCCATGTAGAAATACTCACGGAAACGGAAACCCTGAAACCCTTTTCGTCACCCTGAAACCAATCTCAGAAACCCCTACAAAAAGCATAAAAAAACCCTTCTTTTAAAACTCACACTGCGACCGGAAAGAACCCCCCCTGTTAGGGTTTAAGAACCCCCCCTGTTAGGGTTTAGGGTTTAGGCTTTAGGGTTTAGGGTTTAGGCTTTAGGGTTTTGGGTTCCCAAAGCCCCCTGAAAGGCGCGCCTCCTTGGCGGCAGAGGCCTCCTCGGTGTCCCAGTGGTCCAAGGAAACCTCACAGAGGGTTTTCATGGAAGATGTAGGGTTTAGGGTTTAGGGTTGAATTGAGGGTTTAGGGTTTATAACTATAGGGTTTCATTGAGGGTTTAGGGTCTGAGGTTTAATTGAAGGTTCTTTTTGTTCTATGGGCTCTTTTCCACCTGCAGATACAGCTAGAACTCCTGTACTAGGAGGAGCCTGTATGTGAGGGTTTATAGGGCTTAGGGGTTTCATTGAAGGTTTAGGGTTCAGGATGGTTTAAGGCTTTTTTGGGCTCAGGCTTTTTAACAGTAGAAGCCAGAAACTTGGAATATCACTATCGTATCCCCTTTAAGGTACATTATAGGGGATCCTACCATTCATCCATATTCCAACTTTCTGGAGTTCCCTTTAAAGTAATAACCCTAAACCCTAAACCCTAAACCCTAAACCCTAAACCCTAAACCCTGCTAAACCCTAAACCCTAACCATATTATGAACCCTGAGATCCAACTTTCTGGAGTTCCCTTTAAGTGCTTCTTAAGGGTTTTTAGGGGTCTAAGGGTGGGGAAACCTCAGAGTTCGGATCCCTGGTTCAAGCTCAGGGTCTAGAGAGATGCTGGTTTCAGGTTTAGGGAGTTTGGGAGTTTGGGAGTTAGGGATTAGGGTTTTGGGAGTTAGGGTTTAGGGTTTAGGGTTTTGGGTTTTGGGAGTTTGGGAGTTAGGGTTTAGGGTTTAGGGTTTGGGTTTAGGGTTTAGGGTTAGTGTTTGCTTGATTCTGATTGATTCTTTTTTGATTCTGCTTGTTTGGGAGTTTGGGGTTCAGGGCTTGGGGTCTGGAGTTTTCATTTTCGGCTTAGGGTTGCAACTGGGCTTTTTTGCACGGCCCCCACGTCTCGGATTGTAGATTTGTGGCTCGGGTTCAGGGCTTCAGAGTTTATGGTTTGGAGTTGTACTTAAAGGCTTATGGGACTTAGTAAGTAAGGTTATAAGTAGGATATAATTAGGATAACCCCACTTAGGGGACTCACAACCCCAATTATAACCTACTTACTAAGTCCCATGATCCTCCAAGTATGCAGGGCTACGTTTAGGCTTCTAGAGCTGAGCGTTGTAGGTTTACGGATGTAGGATGTAGGCAAGCTTAGGGTCCAGCCTTGGGCACAAACCCTAAGAACCCTAAAAACTTTGTACTGCTGATGGACAAAATCCTGCATGACCCTAAGGACTCTAAACTATGGGAACCATGGTATATTCCTTATAATGGGTAATGCAGGATCTTGTCCATCAACAGTATGACAAACTCTAAACCATTAACACCCCAAGATCCTCAAAACCCGAAGAGAAGCCCTCAGAGTCTGATCCCTTCTCAAGCCTACTTAGAAGATCGTGGGACTTAACAGTCCCATCATCCTCCAAGTCGAGCCTTAACCCTAAACCCAAACGATCCTTTTAAGGAGCCCTTCTTAAGGGAACCCTTGATCCCTTCAAGGAGCCCTTCTTAAGGGAACCCTTGATCCCTTTAAGGAGCCCTTCTTAAGGGAACCCTTGATCCCTTCAAGGAGAGCCCTTATTCAGGGGGAACCCTTCAGGGCTCCTTAAAGACAAGCCCAAGCGGGAGGCCCTAAACCCTAAACCTCAAACCCCAAAAACCCCAAAAACCCCAAACCTAAACCCTGACCAAGTCCCGTGATCCCTTGAAAGGAGAGCCCTTCTTAAGGGAACCCTTTAAGGCAAAAGCCAGAAAGTTGGAATATGGTTATCCTAACCCCTCTCTTTTGTAAACTATAGGGTATCCCACCATGAAACCCTATTCCAACTTTCTGGAGTTCCCTAAACCCTAAACCCTAAAACCCTAAACCCTAAACCCTTCTTGAGGGAGCCCTTTGGGGCTCTTTAAAGAAAAGCCCAGGAGGGAGGCCGTGAACGCGCCGAAGTGCGGAGGTGTCGTGGCCAATAAGACCGAAACCCTAAATTCCAAACCCGAAACCTGAAACCCTAAATCCCAAACCCTAAACCCTAAACCCAAACCCTAAACCCAAACCCTAAACCCAAACAGCCCAAGCCAAAGCACCGAGGTGTCGTGGCCCTGCTCTTCGGGTGAAAAGTCGAGCGGAGCGCCTTCCTCGGCTTCTGCTCTGCACGCTATGGGTTTTGGCTCTCCTAAAACAATACGGTACCCAATTCGGTTTAGGATTTAGGGCTTATGGGGATATTAGGATTTAGGGTTTAGGCGTTGTTGTTAAGAGTTTAGGGTTTAGAATGGGTGAGAATTGAGGACTTAGGATTTAAGAGTTTAGGGTTTAGAATGGGTGAGAATTAAGGACTTAGGATTTAAGGTTTAGGGTTTAGAATTTTGCGATTCTAGGGTTTTTTTGGGTTTAGGATTAAAAAAGGATTTAGGGCCTAGGCTCCCCTGAAGCAATACGGTAACCTTGTTAAAAGGACCCTGAAAGGGACCCCAGTTTCGAGAACTACCGACATCAAATCAATCCGAGACCGCCAGGGTTTAGGCTGCTTGTGTTGCTTTGAGGTTTGCGTGGAGGGTTTGAGAAACTCTTGTAAACAGTTTGTAGAACACCTTTCATACCCTAAACCCTAACCCTAACCCCATCCTGAATGACCCGCAAAGAAGTCCCGACCCTCTGCAACACTTTGTAAACCCCAAACCCAACGCCCAAGCCCCGGCAAACTCTTCAAAACCGCGCACGAACTTGAAAGCCGGCAATCCCCAACGTCAGCTACTTAAAGGCTCATGGGACTTAGTAAGTAAGGTTATAAGTAGGATATAATTAGGATAACCCCACTTAGGGGACTCACAACCCCAATTATAACCTACTTACTAAGTCCCATGACCCTCTAAGAACGATTTTGGGTTCCGCGCTTGGGGCTTCAAACCTGCCCTACACTACCATAACCTGCTTTTCTAGGTCCTTATTATAAACCCCAATACAGATGTTGTAAGGATGTTTAAGCAAATCTGTGTTTAGCCTTTAGAACCTTAGGAGTTAGGATTAAGGGGACCCTTGGTGATGTAGACCCTCTCAATAAGGTCAGAAGTAGGGTGAAGAAGGGTCCACTTCAGGGGGCCTCCCTAATTCTACCTACTGTAGGGGCCTTAATAATGAGAATAGGGTTTTGGGGGTTGCCCCCATATATTTACAGGATGATATGCCCCCAAACCCTATTCTATCTATTAAGGCCCCTACAGTAAGTAGGAAACCCTAAACCCTAAACAATAAACCCTCAACCCCAAACCCTAAACCCTCAACCCTCAACCCTCAACCCTAAACCCTAAACCCTAAGCCCTAAACCCTAAACCCTAAACCCTATATTTGGGAGTTTATATTTGGGGAGTTTTGTTTGACCCGCGCCTTGAGTAGCTCCCGAACTTGGGCGATCTCGCATGCAGCCGTCGATCGGATGAGCCTTCGGGGCGGGGCGCGTCTAAGCGCTTTTGGGTTTTAGGGCTAAAGCCATTGGGCTTTTCTTTAAAGAGCCCTAAAGGGCTCCCTCAAGAAGGGTTTAGGGTTTAGGGTTTTAGGGTTTAGGGTTTAGGGAACTCCAGAAAGTTGGAATATGGATTAATGGTAGGATCCGCTATAATTTACCTCAAAGGGGATACGATAATGATATTCCAACTTTCTGGCTTCTACTGTAAAGCCATGAACGAGTTACTACAAGGGAGTTACTATACGGGTCACTACAAGCGGATAAGGCCGCCATAAGTTTGGATAGTTTGGAGGTTGGTGGATTAGGAATGCGGGGTTCTTGAAAATGGAAATTCAAGATTCGGGAAGACGGAGGTCTGGGTTTAGACATTTAGGGTGTTCAGCACACGCAGCGCAATCCACAACGACGGCCAAAAATGGAAGCCTACTTCAAGAAGACCTAGCAGCTAGCAGCGCCCTTAACTCTATAAACCCCTGAGCCCTATACTCTGAACCTAAATCCTGGCGAAGCCCCTCATTCCACATCCTGAAGGCCTAGAGGCCGCGCCTTTGAAATAATTCGGCTCGTTCTTGGGTCGTGTATGGCCGTCTGAGCACCTGGCTTCAGGGCTGCACCCATCAGAGGCCTTGGGTTTCGAGTTCAGGGCTGGGCTTGTCCCCTAATCCCCAAACCCCTGAACCCCCGAACTGGGTTTCCATTTCGCCTGAGAAGCATACTTAGGGCCCCAAAACAGCACACAAGCAAAAATTAGGATAGACCTCAAAAGGAAGCCCAACAAGGTAGGGATATCCCGGTAACATGCTTATGCTTATGTGCTTTTTGGGTTCCTAAATACTCCGTATAAGCAGCTCCCTCTTCATCCAAGCGGCCGTCACGACAGGGGCCGCAGTGCCCGGGAAGATTTTCGACAACCTGAGTTGTAGCTGCGCGCATGATTCGGAAATATGTATAGTAAGCAATTGGAAGGAACCCTCAGGAAGAGCATCGCTGATCACTCCGACCCCAGTATACTTATGTACGAGAAATACTTCAATAATTGACTACCAAAGCACTGATACTCTACAAGTAAAATTCCATAGCGCACCAGTACTTTGAAAAAGAACAAAAAAACAGTTGTGTGTGTGTATACACCTATGATGTGTGTGTGTGTGTGTATATATGCATATACACATACAAATATGTGTGTATATGTCATATATGTATAGGTATATGCATATGTAAGTGTATATATATATATATATATGTATGTATATGTGGATCGTCTCGGTCTCCGGCTGTTGTGACGGCTCCGTCAGAACCTCGCCAGTTGAAGGGTGCAGAGCCGGGACTGAACACGGGAGGGCTGCGGGTTCTGAGAGCCGTGGGGTTTAGGGATTTAGGGATTTAGCGGTTCAGGGTTCAGGATGTAAGGTTTGGAGCTTTATGGGTTTAGGCGCTTAAAGATTTAGTAGGGTTTTGGTGGTTTTTAATTGATTTGCGAGCCCCTTTTTCCACCCACGCGGTTTAGGCTTAAAGGACTTAGGGTTTGGGGTTTGGGGTTTAGGGCTTAGGGTATCTTGGTGGGGCTTAGGCTCCAGGTTTTGGGGTGCAAGCAGGGCCGGCTCAAGGTCAAGAGCGTACCCAGATTAAGGCTCTAAAGGTCTTCCATGATGTAATGATATGAGAAGGGGACCGTAAGCGAATATTCCTACGAACAATTCAGACCCCATAGAGCTTCCAAAACCTTCACTCACTGAGGAATCCGGGCGGTCCAGATCCTACGGACAGCACGCACGCTGCAAGGAATTCAAGCTTTTTGGGCTTGCAGTTTGGGAGTTACCATCACCCCAAACAACCTACCTTTGTAAGGACCTATATAAGGAAATCATAATAACGGGGAACCTACAAACAGTGAGGTTTCTTGGGGTCCAGGGCCCTCTCTGTTCCAGTCCGGCCCAACAGCGGCGCCTCGCTTTCGTGGACCAAGTGCTGCACTGCGATGGGGATGCTCATGTTCATTCCTGGGGCCAGAGGCGGATTAGGGTTTAGGGATAAGGCTTTAGGGATTAGGACTTAGGGGTTAGGGTTTAGGGATTAGGGGGTTAGGGCTTAGGGATTAGGGATTAGGGCTTAGGGATTAGGGATTAAGGATTCCTGGGGCCAGAAACGGACGAGGGTTTTGTAGGTTTGGGGGTGTAAGGCTACCCTAAACCCTGAACCCTGAACCCCGAACCCCAAACCCAAACCCTAAACCCAAACCTGAAACCCAAAACCGTAAACCCTAAACCCTACACCCTAAACTTCAGGGTCTAGCTGGGGCTTTGGCTGCAGCACCCAAAGCTCCACAGCGCGGACCGCTAGACCCTGACCTCCTAGCCCGCGTTTCGGGATTTTCAGGCTTCGGGTTCTGGCTTTTATGGGTTCAGGCTTGAGGGTTTAGGATTTAAGGATTTTAGGGTTTAGGGTTGTAGACTTTGAGGAAAACGAACAAGTGAAAGAAGAAACTGCGCTCCCTTGAAAGCCCGTTATAGAAAGAACTCCAAGCACCACCCCCCTCCACTTGAACAAAAAATGCACACCCCTGTAAGCCCCCATACAGAACCTGATGGAATCACCAAAACAACTTCCGCTCTTCTCGGGGCCCCACGGATCCACACCGCCAGATCTCGAACCTAAGCGGGGCTGATCCTAGGTTATAATTCCCCTAAGTGGGGTTATCCTAAATATAACCTACTTACAACCTTACTTACTAAGTCCCATGATCCCCTAAGTAGGGTTTAGGGGCTTGTTTGAGAAACCAGGCTCCAGTAAGGTTGTTCGTAATGTTGTGCAGGTTTAGAAACAGCTTCTAGAAGGTTTTAAGATTTAGCAGGTTACTTCTCTTAAATAGCCAGGGTACAGGGGCACCAAACCCTAGGCCATTAGCCAACATACGCAAACTCGTCCTTTTTCAGCCTTCGGGTACAAGACTTACAGGGTTTTCCCATTGTTCATGCTTGGTCGTCAGGGTTCGGTGATTCGGGCTCTTCAAGGACAGTTTGGGGACCCGAAACCCTAAACCCTAAAAAGGAACCTGATTGAGAAACCCCGGGTCCTTATTAGGCTTATTAGGGTTCCTGATATGAACCCTAATAACTAATATATTGGGGTTATAGAGCCAAGGTTTCTTAATCAGGCTCCTACATCAGCCCCCAAACCCGAAAGAAAAGCGTCTCTGCAGCTGCTTTCTTTCACTCCTCCGACTGCGACCCGGCCGCCGTGTCTTCGCGGTCGAGGACGACTTCAAACTCGCTTCCATTCAGCATAAGGATCTTCACCTCAATACTCAGGGCTGTTTTTTAGGGTGTAAGGTTTCGGGATTCAGAACTGGAGAATCTCCGCTTGGGGGTGATTTAGGATTCAGGGTTTGAGAAGAACCTTCACCTCAATACTAAAGGCCTGTTGGTAGGGTTCAGAACTGAAATCTTCAACTCAGTGCTCAGGGCCTTGTTTGACGGGGTCGGAACTGAAGCTCCAGCTGAATGCTCCGGGCTTTGATCGAATTTCCGGGCTTCGAGTTTTGGAGTTGGTGGCTTCGGGTGTTGGGGTTCCGGGTGTTGGGGTTTAGGGCTTCGAGGCTACAGGATGGTAACAAGTGAGAACCCTAAACCCTGAACCTGAAACCGCAGGCAGGTTCGAAGATTTATTGCGGAGGGGCACCTCAGAGTCGAAAAACACCACAGAGAGAGAGTCTAGGGGGTTTAAGGTTTTACGGTTGAGGGTTCAGGGAAGCTCATGGTTTAGGGTGTTGGGTTTGGGGTTTATGAGGGTTTGGAGTTTTTGATTTATGATTCTGGGCTTGGGGTTTAGGGTTCAGCGGGTTGAGGGTTTCAGGTTCCCGGCGTTCCGGGTCTGTGCATCTACTTGGAGGATCATGGGACTTTGTAATTATGCTTATAAGCAAGGTAACAATCCTGTTATTTACTGTAGAATCCTACAACATGAACTAATTCCTTAAGATGACCCAGTCTTGCAGCCGTGCTACCTGCATTTTTTCAGGCCGCGCAGCTACATCAGTCATCGGGCTCGCGCTGAGAGAGGTCTCCATTGCTACAGTGCCGAGACCCGAACACAACCCGCACGGGTGTCAGGGAAAAAGCCACCCAAAACCGTGAAACCTTTCACCCCCGAATGCTAAAGCCTAAAAGCTCTGAAAGGCTGACTGCTTGATGCAATTCGTGCGCAAACACAGCAACGGGGCTTGAAGAACAGCTTCGGACATGCAAGAAGCTGCTCTTGCCATAGCTTCGATGCTCGGAGAGGTTGAAGCCTAAATACCCATGCCATTCCTCAAGGCTATTCGTTACAACTAGACTACTGTGTACCCCGTTTTTGAGGCCCCTAAAATTCGACTGTGAGATGTCTATGGCCTCATGCCATTCTGCCACTCCGTGCCGTCTGGAACTAAGCGTGCAAATCCGCTCTATCCCTACCAGACCAAGATAGGGGTCTTAATCGTTAGAAGGGCATGTTTTTCGGTGGATATGTATCATAAGGACTACTAACGGAGATAATTACGAACGATTCAGGAAATACCTATATTACATCCCTAAGCCCTAAACCCCAAACCTCTAAACCCATCAACCCCTTAAGCCCCAAACCCCTAAACCTCTTATATAACCCCTAAACCCTCAAGCCTAAACCCCTAACCCCAAAATTTACATCGGCAGAGGATGGCTGCGAGAGCCTTCCGCGCCCCGGTCACGAAGATCCGGCGCTCAATCTTTCAGGGACCCAAACCCGACACCGAAAGAGTCGAACGCAGCTCCGACACCAACAAAAAGTAGGGTGTTGGGGCATTCTAGGGTTTAGGGTTTTTCAGGGTTTAGGGTTTGGGGTCACGCCAACTTCGGGTTAGGGTTTAGGTCGAACCTGAACCCCTACAAAACGCCGCGGACCTGATCCACAGGCTTCTTCAAAACCATCAACCCCAATCCCTGTTGCGCCTCCGACCCCGAACCCTCAACCCAGAGATCCCAATACCCCTTAATTAAGGAATATACTTTAAATTATAATAGGATCCCTGATATGATTTTTAGGCATATTCCTTAATTAAAGGATATTGGGCTCTCTGGGAACCGCAAACCACGGACGAAGATCGAGGGAAATCGAGCACTCGGCTGGTGGAGGCCCCGATGATTTCGTGGCCTCGCGTGGACGTGGACGTGGCTTCAGATGGCTTCTGCTAGTGGGAAACCTGGGTTTAGGGGTCTAGGGCTCAATGCCCAAAGCTGAAACGTAAAGTACCGTAACGCTAAACCCTAAACCCTAAGCCCTAAACCCCAAACCCTAGAAACGCAAAGCCCTAAACCCTCGGTGTGGGGATGAGACGTCAGAGCTTCGAGGTTGAGAAGTTGGGGAGTTATGGGCTCCTAGCTAGCTTTGGGGGTTAAGGGGTCAGGGTTCAGGGTTTAGGGTTTACATAGGGTTTAGGGTTTAGGGTTCAGGGTTTCGGGTTTAGGGTTCAGGATGCTTTGCTTCCTCCCGGGTGGCCCAAACGGGAAGGCCACACTCTCTTGAGACCCGGAAAGACTACACCCTCGACCCAAACCCTGAACCGAGCCCTTAAAACCGAGCTGGCTAGACTCCCGGTACTGGGTTTAGCTGTAATGATATTAGGTGCCTTGTAGTGGAAATATCTTTGAAGAACCTTGAAAACCCCAAACCGTGAGACCCAAAACCTGATGAACCCTACTATAAGTGGCCTGAATTGGATTCTCAAGTTTCTCATAATACAAATGTTTGAAGCAACCTTAACGAGCAGTATTGGGCCCCTCAACTGGAGTGCCGGATGTAAATCTCCAGATTATCTTTCTTGTTCAGCATCCCGGGGAAACTACAGGTTAACCTTCGGGATTACATTATAGGGATTGTAGTACCCCTAGACTGGCTCAATGTTACATACTCCTCCTAAACCCCTGAACCCAAACCCGCCTAAACCCCTAAACCCCTAAACCCCCTAACCTTTACCCCCCCAAACCCTGACCACTCAGTTAGCGTGGAAGGAGGCAAAACCAGAACCCAGCTCGGAACCCAGCCTGCCGAGCACTGAAAGGAGAACGTGGGCACAGGAGTCTCAATCGGACCTGCCGCTGTAGAGTCCCTAGAAACTCCATACTAAGGTCGTATAGTAAGAACCTGCAAAGTAACAGCTTATGGTAGGTTTTAGGTGGGTGTAGGGTGGTAGGGTGTAGAAGCCAGGGTTTAGCATGCATGCAGCCGGTCATGCAAACTGTCACGAAGCGAGAGGGTTTGGGGTTTCGGGTCTTGGGATTTCTCTGCTTTGGGGCTTGATATCCCTAAACCCTGAACTGAATTCCCTAAACCCTAAGGCTTTTAGGGTTTAGGGGCTCGAATTTGCAAGGTCGTGCTGAGCTACGGCTTACAGTCTGACAGCCGGGTTAGGGGTTCTGTAAAAGGCCAAAAAGGGTTGCTTTAAGGGAGCTCTACTATAACGGTTAGTCAGGGGTTCGGGTTTGGGTGGTGGGTTTAAGGTGTAGAGCATAAGTCTGAGTGGTTAGGGTCGCAAAGTTTGGATTTCTCGCCTCAGGGTTGAGAGTTGGGGCTGCAATCGGGTCTGTAAGGGCTACTATAAGGGATCTATAAGGGTAGTGTAATGTAGGGGCCTTAATAATGCTAATCAGGTTTTGGGGTATATTATCCTATAACTCTCATCCAACTCGATGGTCCACAAAGCTGCTCCCAGCCCTCCAGAACCCTCAGCCCGGGTTGAAGGGGACTTTGCTCGATGCATGTGAAAAACAGCGAAGAAACTCCTGGAAGGATGGACCCCGATACAGAGCCCATCCCACCCCGCTTCGAGCCCTACGGCTGATGATCTAAATCCTGCATTGCCTTAAGGACCCTAAGCTATGGGAATTGTGGTATACCGTAAAACCTCAAAAGAACCCATGAATTGTACCCTTATAGATCCCTTGAAAGGAACCCGGAACTTATATCATCAACCCTGGGATCCTCCGAGAGCTTCGCCTCCCAGCGTCAGGCAGCGGCCGAAGCTGGTGACCCACATGAGCCAGCCGAGGTGACGGCCGCGCAGCATGCAAAGGTGCTCCTTTGCTGGGCACTTTTGTGGAGGTTTAGGGTTTAGGGGCTTAGGGTTAAGGAGTTTAAGGAGTTTTAGGAGTTTAAGGAGTTTAAGGTGTTTAAGAGTCTAGGTGCTCCTTTGTTGGGTCATTTTTCGGCGGTGGTTTAGGAGTTTAAGAGGCCCCTTTGCTGGTTGATGTTATTTGTTCAGGGGTGGTTTAGGTTAAGATCTAGAGTCCACGCCTACTGCCATTTTTGCCACTGCGTTTGGGATGCTGGATCGGTATTCCCTCCAATGAGGAGCTTCTTGAAGAAGATCAAACAAGAAGGGAGCTCTTTTTGCCATGGCGTGTCGCGTAGGGTTCCTTTTAGGGGTCCGGTAAAGCGCTACTATAGCAGCTCGTATCAGGGCTACTACAAGGTTGGCGTGTAGTGTTTGCAGGGCTGAGGGCTTTAGGGCTTGAGGGCTTCAGTTCAGTAAGGTTGGCGCGTAGTGCTTATAGGGCTTAGGGCTTCAGGGCGTGGGGGCTTTGGGTCTGGTGTTGTTTGAAAGAAATGCTGTCGCTTCTTAACCTTGGTGCGTCTCGCTTCCTCTTCACCCCTGACCCTAAACCCCAAAAAGCAGCCTAAATAACACTCTCAAATACCCCGCCCTCGAAGAGCACTGTACAAACCCTAACCCTAAACCCCCCGACCCCCAAACTCTTAAACCCTAACCCATACACCCCTAAACCCTGGACCCCCAAACCCCCAAACCTCCAAACCCCCACACACTAAACCCTAAACTCCTTGAACCCCTATACCTCTCAACCCCTTAAACACCTGAACCCCGAAACGCCCTAGACCCCTCAAAACCCACCAAAACCCCAAAAGCACCCAAAAAAATATTTCTAAAGGCCGCGCTCGCCCTCGAAAAGGTCTGAACCCCTAACCCTAAACCCTTAAACCCTAAACCCTACCTAAACCTCTAAACCCCCAAACCCCAAACCCTTTATAGAACCCCTTATAGGTCCTTTATAGGAACCCTTAAAGGAACCGTTAAGGATCCCTAAAAGAAGCCCTCTAAACCCTGAAAGCCAGGGCTCGCCCTCGAAGAGGTCTTTGCGCTGCCAGCCGGGCTCCGGCTGCTCCGAGGACTCGGAGTCGTCGGCCTCGAAAGAACGCGCCCAAGCGCGGTGGGTTTAGGATTTAGGGGATCTAGGGGTTTGGAGTTTAGGGTTCAGGGATTTAAGGGATTTAGGGGATTTAGGGGCTTTAGGGGTAGAGCGGGGTTTGGTGGGGCTTCGAGGGATTTAAAGGATTTAGGGCTCCTTTAAAAGGAATGCATAGGGGTTCCTTTGAGGGATCTATGATGGGACTTCGAGGGATTTAGGGGTTTAGAGCTTAGGGTTTAGGGGGATGTAGGGGGATGTAGGGGAGCTAGAGGTTTAGGGGTTTAGCTTTAGGGTTTAGGGTATAGGGTTTGGGGGTTTAGGGTTTGAGGTTTATGGTTTTGGGGGTTTGGCCATTATATTTCATGAAAATCAAGCCTACTAAGCCTACTATATCCAAATTTGTTTTGACTACTATGTTGTGCTAGAAATATAGTATGGTAGACTGTCTGGTATTGTAGACTCTGCAATATTAGTGAAGGGGGTCTTGGGGTTTAGGGTTTGGAGCTTTTAGGGTTTGGGATTATGGTTGATACTACATTATAATTAGGGTGTATATCTCCAAACCTATTACTATGTGGTATCAGAGCATATTACGGCATATTAGATTTGGTCATAGACTCTGCAATATTATTCTTATTATTATTAATATTATTATTGTTATATTATTATTATTATGATTATTATTATTATTATTGTTATAGTTATTAGTGGTAGTGGTAGTATTAGTAGTAGTAGTAGTAGTAGTAGTAGTAGTAGTAGTAGTAGTAGTAGTAGTAGTAGTAGTAGTAGTAGTAGTAGTAGTAGTAGTCGTAGTAGTAGTAGTAGTAGTAGTAGTAGTAGTAGTAGTAGTAGTAGTAGTAGTAGTAGTAGTAGTAGTAGTACTATTATTATGATTATTTTAATATTATTATTGTTATTGTCATTATTATTGTTATTTGATTTTTATTTTTGTTATTATTATCATTCTTGGTACTGGAAGTCTCGGGGTTTCGGATTTTCAGGGTCTGGGGCATGGGGTTTGGAGGTCTTAGGATGTAAAGTTTAAGGCTTAGGGTTTAAGGGATTTGAGGCTTCTGCTTAGGATGTTAGGGTTTTTAGCGGTTTAGGATTTAAGAGATTTGAAGCTCTGGCTTATAATGTTAGAAATTTTGAGGGGTTTCTGGTTTAGGGTTGAAGATTAAGACCTTTGGGGAACCTTAAGGAACCCTGAAGAAGCCCTTGTGTGAGTAAAGGATTATTAATTTCTATACACTCATAGGGATCCTTAGGGGTGTAGGGGGAGGGGGGGTTGGGGGCCTTAAGGCCCATAATAAGGACTAATAAGGCCTATTTAAGGAAAAATAGTCCCCTACACCCCTCCCCCCTACACCCCTAAGGATCCCTATGATACACTCCTTCCGCCCCGATCTCTCCAGGATCTCATAATTCAAGAGTAAATGGCTAGGAGTTGGTGCGTTGGTTTACGGCTTGAAGGGAACTCCAGAAAGTTGGAATATGGTTTCAGGGTAGGATACCCTATAATTTACAATAGAAGGATTTAGGATAACCATATTCCAACTTTCTGGCTTTTACCTAAACCCTAAACCCTAAACCCTAAACCGGTGTTTTTGGGTTCGGGGTTCCAGGGCTTGGGGTTTAAACCAAAGCCCTGAACCCTGATGAGCCGATGGTGTGCGTAATTCCATACCATAGGGGCCTTAATGATTAGAAGAGGGTCTTTGGGGCCCGTTCTGCTTGTCTTATAATAAGGAACCCTAGGACCTAGGAATAATACTGGGTAATTATTGCCATAAGTCTCCTATAGTACAGGAGTGGCTTGGAATTCATGGCTCTGCAAGAGCGCGAATGTTCCCGGCCTCCCGTCAGCACTTCGCAGGCACATGTAGCATTTTGCGACTTGCTCGTGCGTGTCTTGTTCTGCGCCACTACCAACTCTCCACCTGCAAGCTCAAAGATCGTGAGAGCTTCTACATATCAGATTTCAGACGATCCTGCACAGCACTGCAGTCACCACCTGTCTCAGCCTCACCCCAGGTCACAACAGACCCATCGCCAAGAATAGCGGCAAAAGCGAAAGAAGAGGCTTGGATCTGCTGAACATTCTTCAGCTGATCCTGCACAGCGCTACTGTCACCGCCGTAGTGAGCAGAACCCCAGGTCACGACCGATCCGTCACCAAGAACTGCAGCAAAAGCAACGTCGGCCGCTTGGATCTTCTGTACGTTCTTCAGCCGACCCTGCACAGCACTGCTGTCACCACCAAGTTCAGCATCACCCCACGTCACGACGGTTCCATCTTCGAGAATGGCGGCAAAAGCAGCGCGAGTGGCTTGGATCTGCTGCACACTCTTCAGCTGATCCTGCACAGCGCTGCTGTCGCCACCAAACTGAGCACGACCCCAGGTTACGACAGAGCCATCGTTAAGAATGGCCGCGAAAGCACCGCCAGAGGCCTGGATCTGCTGCACATTCCTGAGCTGATCTTGTACGGCACCACTGTCACCGCCATATTTATCATCACCCCATGTCACGACGGTTGCATCGCCGAGAATGGCAGCAAACGCACTGCCAAAATCGCTTCCGGATGCTTGGATCTGCTGTACATTCTTCAGTTGATCCTGCACAGCACTACTGTCCCCACCTTGTCGATCAGCACCCCAGGTCACAACACAGCCATCACCAAGAATGGCAGCAAAGGCGCCGTGAGAGGCTTGGATCTGCTTCACATTCCTGAGCTGGTCCTGCACTGCACTACTGTCACCACCGTAGCGAGCAGAACCCCAGGTCACGACGGTTTCATCTGCGAGAATGGCAGCAAAAGCACCACCACCACAAGAGTGTCTGGAAGCTTGGATTTGCTTCACGCTCTTCAACCGACCCTGTACAGCACTACTGTCACCGCCAAATGCGGCACCACCCCACGTGACGATGGAGCCATCGACACGGATTGCAGCAAAAGCAACACCAGAGGTTTGGATCTGCTGCACAGTCTTCAGCTGATCCTGCACCGCGCTGCTGTCACCACCAAACAGAGCATGATGCCAGGTTACGACAGAGCCATCGTTAAGAATGGCCGCGAAAGCGCCGCCAGAGGCTTGGATCTGCCGCACATTCCTAAGCTGATCTTGTACGGCACCACTTTCACCACCACGTTGATCATCACCCCATGTCGCGACGGTTGCATCGCCGAGAATGGCCGCAAAAGCTTGACGACAAGCATGAACTTGAACTCTGTTCATGTGCAAGGTTAGAATATCGCCATCCGACAGCCTGGCACGCTTGACCGGTGCACATGCATCCAGAACGTTTCCAGATGAGCCCACGAGCCGGCCACGTCCAACTCCGAGGGCGGTCTGCGCCCGACGTTTCAGCGTTCCCACTTCTTCATCCAAGTGGGCTTGGACAGTGGCTGTCTTGCCGCTGAGCAGTCCAACTGTCACTTCAATCGACATGTTGCCTGGTAGATTTTGAATTTCTGCAAGACTGCTGAACAACATGAATCCCGGCCATATGCTATTCCAACCTCTGAACCCTGACGCTAAATGATGGCAAACCTTTGCTTTACAGACCATGCCTTATTGTGTATATGTGTGTCTGCACATAGAACAATGTACATGTGTGTATGTATATATATATATATATATATACATACATACAACTCTGTTCAGACGGTCTTGCTCAAACCATTCAGGCAGGGTGATGCCGCCAGAACACCGACCACATGGGCTCAATCTTCCCCGCAGATCTCATGCCTCTAACAACATGATGGAATCATCTGATATGGGGGCCTTCATCAGAATAGGGTTGTGGGGCCCATTGTCCTATAATTATGAAAAGGAGCCCCCAAATACGTAGTAGAGATGATTATTTCGGCCCCTATATTATAATACTATAGTACGCTTATCGATCCCATATAGTATCCCTTAAAGCCCCTATATCAAAGGGGAAAAGGAGGGACCCTTAATGGGGACCGCTACCCTATAATGGGCAAAAAATAGGGTATGTATCTAGGGGTCCTTATTAAGGGTCCCCCCTTTTCCCCTTGGACTATAGTAAGCCCGAACAGGGCCCCCGATATTACAGGCCCTGCCTCGCCGACGAAGCGCAACCTCAACTCCTGCACCGAGGATTGGCCAATCCATTCGACCGCAGCGACAGCCTTCAGGTTTAGGGATTAGGGATTAGGGTTTAAGGTTTAGGGATTATGGTTTAGGGTTCAGGGTTTAGGGTTTAGGGTTTGCGGTTTAGGGTTTAGGGCTTTAGGGTTTAGGGTTTGGGGTTTAGGGTTTAGGGTTTTCGGGTTGAGGGTTTAGGCTTCAGCTGCAGAGGCCAGGTTTGTGAGCTTCGGCTTATTCTACTACTCCTTCGGTGTTCATTTAAAAGGGGGTCTATGAGGGTTACTACCAGGGTACCATTGGGTACCATAATGTAGGGGCCTTAGTATTTAGAATAGGGTTCAACTAGCGCGACTCATAAGGTAGGCACAAGCTGGAGCCTCGCGATTCCGTACGAGATGGAGGAGTCAAGAACTCCGGATTTCACGAGGTGACGAAATATCTCGACCGTTACGCCTGGCGGCTTCATAACCAAGGCGAATGAAGCAGCTGGTTCCAATTATTCTACGTAACTGTTCGCGCCGCCGGCAAGCACGACTGGTAATAGTATCAGCGCTGCGCTGGCAGCAGCAGTAGCGACGACAGCGACGCCAATCGTCGCCGCCATCGCTACAACCGTACTGCAATCAGTAGTCTTCTCAACACGCCTGTTAGTCTTGATCTTGCTAGTGCTTCGAGGAGGGTGAGAAAGGTAGTAATAAATACCCTACGAGTAGCATCGTTGACGATGCTTCCGGGCAGCTCCCCAGGTGGTGAAGGACGTGTCAGAGCCACTTGGCAAAGCATTACCTGCCGAAGGATGTGGTATTGAGCTTCCATGGAATCTCCACGATTGCCTCTACAGACTCTAGCCTAGAACCTATGCCGTAAACTACACCCTAGACCGTACTGACGAGGCGCGGACCTCTAACATGCGAACTTTAGCTTAGACGGCGCTTCGCTCCGCTCGGTTGCCACGGAATTCGAAGTTGTAGCGTCACAAACCCCTTAAAAAACCCTTAGCAACCCTTCAAACTCCTCCAAAACCCTTGAGCCCTAAACCCTAAACCCTTGAGCAACCCTTTAAAGCCACCGTTTTCAAGGGGATGTCCACTGTGCCTGGAGTGCATCTGAAGAGTCGGCTGGCCTTTGCTTGCTTCGAAAAATCTAGGGCAAGCTACGTGCCTTTGGGGTTTCAAGGCTTTTTGAGCTTTAGGGTTTTTAGGGTTTTAGGGTTTAGGGTTTAGGGTTTAAGGGTTAGGGTTTAGGGTTTAGGGTTTAAGGGTTTAGGGTTTGGGTTTCTTAGGGTTGAGGCTTCGCCGCTTAGTGGGTTTGGAGTTTAGGGTTTAGGGCGCTTGAAGCTTTGGGGCGTTGAGTCTTTCGGGTTTTCGGCTTCAGGGCTTTAGGGCTTCATGGTTTTGGCGCTTCACACCTATGGACACCGGTACCCCAAAACCTGGAAAACCCCTCAAGCCTACCTGCACCCAGTCGCTGCAACAGCGTGGCTTTTTTTTAGCAATGGCCCGAACCCGAAGAAAGCCCAAGTGCCCAGCTTAAGTACGCACCTTTCAAGAGGTCCCGTTCAACCCTAAACCCTAAACCCGAAAACCCTAAACCCTAAGACCCTAAAACCCTAAACCCTAAACCCGAAAACCCTAAACCCTAAAACCCTAAAACCCTAAACCGTGCCGAGTCGCTGGAGTCCTGTCTGGGGAGGTTTGCGACTCGCTGCTGAGGATGGCGGAAGTCGCGGAGCTGAAACCTACGAAGCGGCGCTGGTGCTGCGGTTCTGGGCTCCAAGGGTAAAAGGAGGGACCCCTGATAAGGACCCCTAGGTATATACCCTTAATATAGCTATTATATACCCTTTTTATAGCCCATTATAGGGTAGGGGTCCCCATTAAAATTCCCTCCTTTTCCCCTTTGATGGGCCGAAGCCCCGCTGCAGGCCTCCTAAACCCTTCCAGCGCGAAACAGCTCCATCCCCATACTTTCTCACAGAAACCATACGAACTTTGCTGACTATAGAGGCCCCATTGTAAAGCTCGACGAAAACCTATAAGCACCGAATTAAGACCTAATTCAAAACATAAAAGCCCCACCCTAAACCCGAAACCATAGACAACCCTACAAGAGGCCCACTCGAACTATAAGATATCTAAACTTGGAGGCACAGGAGACTTCGTAAGTAGGTTATAAATAGGCTTAGAAGTACCCGAAATGGAGTTACCCCAATCATAACTCTCCTTACAACCTACTCACTAAGTCCCCCGCCCCCCCAAGTAGAAAGGCATAGTAAGTAGGCCAGAAATGTATAAATACCCTAAATAGAGTTACCCCTACTCAAAGTATAAGAGTATCCTAACCCTAAACCCTAAACCCTATGCCCTAAACCCTAAACCCTAAACCCCAAACCCAAAACTTTCCTAAACCCAAAACCCCAAACCCTAAACCCCCTAAATCCGTATCGAAAGAAAGGCCCATGCCGAAACCCGGCGCGCCTCCGGCCCGGGCCCTCTTGCGCTCAGCGAGGCGCGCTTCCTCGGCCCCGAGTGCCCGAACTTTTACATTTTTCTTGCAGGGCTCTAGGGGCGTTGGGGGTTTCGGATTTAGCATTTGGGTCTTTGGGGTTTCGGATTTGGGATTTGGTGATACTTTAGGGTAGGGTTTTCGGTAGGGCTTTGAAGCTAAACCTCGGCTTTAGGGTTAGGCTTTAGTGAGGGCTCAGGGGTTTAGGGGTTTCGGGGCTTAGGGGTTTCAGGGTTTAGGGGTTTAGGGGTTTAGGGGTTTGAGGGGTTTAGGGTTCTACATCAGCCCAGAGATCCCAATACCCCTCAAGTAAGGAATATACCTAAATTATACTAGGATCCCTAAAAATGACTTAAGGTATATTCCTTAATTAAAGGATATTGGGTTCTCTGGGTAGGGCACTGGGGTTTTAGCAACTGTTGGGTTTTGGGTGATGGGAGGCCAAAAGGGGGGTTTAAGATTCTTGGGGTAGGGATTCCTTAATATGAACCCTATTATGGGAACCCTGATCCCTACTAAACCCCCATAGGCTAAGACCCCTTTAGCCTCCTATGATAGGGATCTGGGCAATAGGGCTTTAGCAACTGTAAGGGCTTTGGATTTCGGGATTTCCGGGGTTTGGGGTTTAGGATTTGGGGATAGGGTATAGGGAAAGCGGCTTTCGGGCTTAGGGTCAAAATGCGCTTCCGCTGGCAGCAGTTGCGGTGCGCCAGAGACCTAGGCTTTATGAATGTAGGGAATAAATAACTAGAATCATGTGACAATTTCTAATACTAATAATCTCCTGTAAAATGTGAGAAAGAACCCGTGTGAATTAAAACAAGAAGCATGCATTCTTTATCTTCTTTGTGTTTAATTCACACGGCTCTTTCTTCAACTGGAAGTTAAGGTGCGTTCGTACGTTCATGTGGGCTTCATTCACGCTTCCACTCACTTCTCTCGCTCGTTTCTTTGTAATTAAACCAAACAAAAGAGGAACGAAAAGAAACACACAACTAAATTCCAGATGGGAGAATATTAATACTAGATTATAGTTGTAAATAATAAACTAAAATCCCTAATAAATATTTAATACACAAATCTAGGTCATTCCATGGGCCCTTTATTTCTACAAAAGGGTTTCCCCACGGCAAGGATGCCGGCGTCTAGATTGCTGCAAGTCTCGACGACCTGGGGCTTTGGGGTTTCAGGGTTAGGGCTTCTTTGGTGGTTTAGGCCCAGAGAACCCAATATCCTTTAACTAAGGAATATACCTTAAATCATATTAGGGATCCTAGTATAATTTAGGTATATCCTTTAATTAAGGAATATACCTTAAATCATATTAGGGATCCTAGAATAATTTAGGTATATTCTTTAATTAAGGGATATTGGGTTCTCTGGGGGGTGCGGGCCTCGAGATTGATTGGTGCAAGTCTCGACGACCCTGAGCCGAGGTTCTAAGGCACAGATCTGCTGCTGGTAGAAGGCGATGACTTCCGCGGCCTTGGCTTCTGGAATCGGGTTTGTGGTCTTTTTGTTTTTAAGGGCCTTGCGGGGTCGAGGGGTTCAGGCTTTGGATGCCTTTTCTTGACGGTTTTCTCGATTCCTCCCTGTTACAATTGAAAGGGTTTGGAGTCAAGGGATTGCGGGTGTGCAAAGGTTACACACTGCCCTAAACCCTAAACCCTAAACCCTAAACCCTAAACCCTAAACCCAAACCCTAGGAGCACAAGACCAAGCGGAGATTTCGCCTTAACCTGGGAACCGAAATGACTCCGCACCTTCTCCGCACAGCTTCCGGGAGATCGCGCCCAGCGCGGAAAGCCCGGCTTCACGACGGTATGATGTCCTTCTGCGCAGGGTTTCGGGGTAGTGATTTCGAGGGCTTGACGGTTTGAGGTTTGGGGTTGTAGGTCAGGGTTCAGAATATAAGGTTCATGGGTTTAGGGTTTTGAAGATCTGCGCGTAAGGGTCGAAGGGTCGGGCTTTTAGGGCTCAGAGCTTAGAGGTGGGGTTCAGGTTCTCTCCATTGAACATAAAACGACTAGCAGACAAAAGCCGCTGAAACCGGTGACAAACATCTCAATGTCTTCGGCCTACCTTAAAGCTACGGTTGATGATATAAAGCCTGCATCACCCATAATCAGGAATACACCGTAATTACCATAGTTTAGGGTCCTTAAGGTAAGGCAGGATTTATATCATCAACCGTATCAGGCTTTGGCTTTAGGCCTTGGGGTTTTCGACTCAGGGTTGGAGCCTTTGGGGTTTCAGGTTTGGGGCCGAGGGTTCGAAGGGAGTTCGGACAAAAACCCTCGTCGCTCCTCCTTTTACCCTTTCTACAAGGGTCCTACTATTTAGGGTACTATATTAGGGTTTAGGGTTTAGTGTTTAGGGTTTAGGGTTTAGGGTTTAGGGTTCCCTAGTTTCGGAAACTCCCAAATTTAGGGCTTTGGGTTTCAGCTTTCGGGTTCGCGATGTCAGGGTTAGGGCAAAAACCCCTCGTCGCTCCCCCCGGTTCGAGGGACCCTAAACCCGAAACCCCTAAACCCTAAACCCCTGAACCCTAAACCCGAAACCCTTAAACCCTAAACCCCAAAACCCTAAATCTAAACCCCAAACCCTAAACCCCAAAACCCGAAACCCCTAAACCCCTAAACCCTAAAACCCTAAACCATGGCTCCTCCCAGCTCCCCATCGAGCGTGTCGATCTCCCGCTCAAAGAGGCGAACAAGCCTCCCCACCTGACGGAGGAAAAACTCCAGGGTTTAGGGTTTCTTATTCTTTGTCCCTTCACCTGGCTTTGCATTCGACTGTAGCCCCCTAAACGACCCTAAACCTAAAACCATACCAGCACCCTCCTTGTGCCCTCAAATAGGGGTATATGGTCCCAAATAAGGGGCATTTAGGGTCTAATAGAGGGTAGATGGAGGGTCTAGGTAGATAGGGCGTGGGTGGTTAGGATACTATTGACATGATATCAAAGTGGTGATACTAGAGTTGTAGTGAACACGAATTACAAGGGTTTAGGGTCTTACCATGTATTTACTGTATCTACTCTCTGGCTGGGACCGTCATTGACATCCCCGAAGCAGCTTCTTCAGCGCCTGTTCCGCTTGGCTGTGGGGGTGGTCCATGCAGGTGGGCACCAAAGGGTTGAAGACGCTCTGCAAACGGCCTGCGGACAGGGGAGCCATGATCCGACCTTTGAGGGTTCAGGGTTGTTCTGTTCTGTTCTGTTGTTGGAAGTGTCAGACGACGCACTCTCGAGGTTCAGGGTTGACAGATTACAGCAAGGTTTTGATCGCTTGGGGCTCTTCGGGACTGAGGAAAGCTGCGAATGCACCTGCCCTGGCCACGCCAAGTGTGGGGCCACCATCACTGTGCCCATGCGCAGCCATGGGCTCAGGAGCTTCCATGGCCCACAAGGCTTCTTGAAGGCGTTTGGGGGCGTTTCGGGTTTTGGAGATTTTCGGAGCTAGGGTAGCTTCGGAGTTCGGCTGGGGCAAGCCGTGAACCCACGATAGTACGGCACACTTGCAAAAAGGATCCTAAAAAGAATCCTAATTTAGAGAACTACCAGACCCGAACTCACCGAAGCTCGCCAATTCGACGCTTTGACATCGACTTCGAAGGACCAAGGTCTGTGGCTTCGCTCTGTGAATTTAGGGTTTAGGGTGGGGTTGCTTTCTCTAGCCTGCCTCATCTGGGAATTCCAAACCTGGAGCCGGTAGCCACGAGTTCAACCTAAAGCTGTAGCATAACACTGTAATATATATATATATATATATACAATATTGTGTATGATATGATATATATATATATATGCATATATAGAGTAATATATAATAGCATATGATTAAATATATGAGACGAGTAGAAAACAAGGAGCCACACGTAGCGGTCTGGCTGAGGTAGTCTTCTTCGTGGTTGCAGCAGCCAGAAGTGGACATCACCGTTCAGCTGCAACTCCCCATGACTTCTTGTGTGTTGGTGCTGTTGTAGACCCCTAGCTATTCAGGCTCCTCTAGGTGGGGCTTTTAGAGCCTTTGAGAAAAATAAGTACATAAGATCCTCTTAAGCCCAATAAGGGAAAATATAAAATGTCCCAAAGCCCTACCTAGTCCTTGTGTATGGAAAATCATAATTACTCGGATCCTTATCAGTTGGTTCAGAGCTTTGGCCCCAAGCCCCAGATAGACCCAAAACGCTATATAAACCCTATACCCTAAACCGCTCAACCCTATGCCCCAAAACCCTAGTTAGGGTTGAGGGGCGAGGGTTCAGGGTTTAGGGACATCAGTCTTTATGCTGACTAGTTAAGGGAGGGAGGGGTTATTATCCAGTGACTCTGCATGTCCACAGAAGGGATTCGCTTAAACCATAAACCCTACATGCGCTAAGTCACTTCTCATATCCCTACATGGGCTTCGAGGGTGCATCTCACAGTTCAGTCTAGAGGGCATGGGTCGAGATATCGAAAATCGGGCTGTCTTGTTGATGTGATTTTTTTGACTTGCGGTTTACGGCTTGGCATTTAAGGCTCTGGCTTCTTCCGATGTTTTTCTCGCGGGACTGTTCGCCGATGCAAGCAGCTGACTTTCCAAACTAAGGAAGTCTGCATCACTGCTACGAGTCCGCAGGAAAGAAGGCCTTCGGGCACTGCGCGCCGTGTTGAACGCGTTGAAGGCTTCGTTTGTGGCAGCGCAATATTTCCGCCGCCACCGGACCTCGAAGAAATTGGATCAATCGGATTTGGGGGTTACGGGTTGAGGGCTTGAAAGTTGGAGGGTTCTGGACGAGGGCTTGGGAGCACGGTTTATGGTTTAGGGATCCGGGATGAGGATCTCATCTATCTGGCTGACAGGACAAGCATTGTCTTTGATCTTCCCTGCCAGGCCAACATGCTCAGATGCGAAACCACGTTCCCTTGCTAGACACAGCCGACATTATCAACAGAGCTGAGGTGCTGTGTAGCTAATGCAACTCCAACACAACCTCCTGACCCCGACGAACTCGTTTCTCGCAGCATGACCCGGAGACATGAAAAACGACAACACAGCCTTTCTGTCGCGGTTTCGGACTTTGTCAATGGCAGCATATCATAATTGAGCAAAGTCTCGTAAGTCGTTGCATTGACGATGCAGACCACCTGGCGAGAGAACAAGTAACTTGTCAGCAGCTCCCACAGGGAACGCAAGTTCGAGAGTTCGTATTCATCCCCAAAAACTCCCCCGCAAGTTCGATGCATCCCAGCTGCATTCAGCAACAGCCAGGAGAGCATCAGCACTGCAACGAGCGGAAGCTCACGTCGGGAGTCGAAATTCCAGAAGTGCACGGCAAAGTTTTCGAAGACCACCAGGCCCAGGAAGAGCAGGCTCCTTGGGCTTTTTCTTGAGGAGGTTGATGTATGCTACCATAATAGGGGGATCTATAGTGTGTATATTATATATATATACATATATATATATATATATATGTATATATATATATATATATATATACATATATATTTATGTATATACATACTAATATTATTTCCGTTGTATTGGGAAGCGCAAGCTCGTTGGGCTTTTTGTGGACGCTACCATCAGATGGGGATCTAAAGTGAATAAGATGGTTTCCTCCTTATGTTGTGGTGACTTAAAACAAGTTCCTTAACCAGAACCCAGACACAGCTGGCAGTAGGCTCCCAGGGCTGTCAAGTAGGCCATCTTCGGCAGCAGATCGGCGATGGTGAGGCGGAAAGTGATCGTCGCCAAGATGATGTTCAAGTCAATTTCCTGAATTCTTGTTGAGGAACTTACCTCAAATTACTTAAACTAAACCTGGGTTCTTGTTAAGGACTTTACCATAGACCCCCATTATGGTACCTTACATGAAACCCCTTAACAAGAACCCAGTTTCGATTCGAGCGGAGAAGTTCTGCGGGTCGATGCAGAAGACAACGAAGGCCAGGCTCACCAGCATGCACCTGGATTCGAAAAAAGGGAAAGAGAACCCCAATATCCCTTAATTAAGGAATATACCTTAAATCATATTAGGGATCCTATTATGATATAAGGTATATTCCTTAATTAAGGGGTATTGGGATCTCTGGGGTTCAGAACAATTTACGTTGCCATAATCGAGATCTATAATGCAGAATATGCGTTCCTCATTATGGTACCTTAACTTAAACTCCTTAACAAGAACTAAGGCACTGCGGGAACATGATGCTCCAAAAGTAGGGCGCCGCATGACGCACGATAACGGGGGCGATGTGCAGCCAGGAGTATTGGGTGCCGGTTCGAGACCAATCCTCGGGAAAAGCTTCGCATTGCAAGGAATCCGAGGGCTTAGTGGTTGTTTCGTCTCAACAGCTTAGGTACTCTAGATGTTGATTCTGATCCAACCCCTCAAACCCCAAACCCTAAACCCTAAACTCTAAACAACGTGCGGAAAGTATCCGGCTTGCTCATCAGCAGCGCCCCGGACGAGAGGGCAGCCGGCTGGTCGTAGGCGATCATGCGAGGGAACTGGAAGTCAAACTCTTGCCTAGTTCATGATTGGGATAGGATTAAAAATTTAAACTTCTATTCCTTATTGTGTTTAAGTACCCATAAAAATGTAAAATGTTACCCAACTATGACAAAGTTGCAGGTGAGTTGTCTCCGTCATCATGTCTGCACAGCTGTCCTCAGAGTGCCGTCATGTTCTGCACCGTTCTTCAAGGGAGCTTGAGTTTGAGATTGTTGAGTTGAGGGATGGATGCGACTTGGGTACTTCGCTTTTCGGTTCCTAAAGAATCCGAGCATCGCGGTCGCAGAAGCGGAGCAGTGTCGTGGTCACAGGATGCTGCGAAGTCAGGGTCATGTTCAACAGCTGCCTCGTGGATGCAAGCTGTTTTGGGGTTCCCCGCTTCTGCTTGTCCTGCGGGTCGTGGATTGAACCCTTATGAAATCTTCATGAAGCTCTTGTGGAACCCCTATAGAACCGAGACAAATCTAGAAGTCTGAGATTCAGAACTCACGGGCCTCAAGACCCGTGTCGAAACTCCTCACCTTGCCAGAGATACCACCGACCCCCTATGTGTCATCAGGAATCTGCGTTGCAGAACACTAGAGCGGGTTTGGGATTCAGGGGGTTGGAAGCTAAGGGTTCTGAGTTTTGTGAGGCTTAGAATTTGGGGCTTTGGGTTTTGGGGGTATCTTCCATGCTAGGCAGCACTTGCAGTGTCTGGCGTAGTTCTAGGGATTCTAGGTTTTAGGATATTTATAGGGCTACGGCTGATGATATAAATCCTGCATGACCCATAATAAGGAATGTACCATAATTCCCATAGTTTAGGGTCCTGAAGTAATGCAGGATTTGTATCATCAACAGTACTTGTTGCATCCCGGCTGCATGTCAAAGGGAAACGGCTTGAAGTCCATCTTCACCGCGAAGGTCGCCTTTAGCCGCGTGAAGCGGCGAATCCACACCTCTGCCGGCTCCGACCCTAAAACCTAAACCCGAAACCCAAAAAACTTGTACCTAAACCCTAAACCCGAAACCCCAAAAACTTACACCTGAACCCTGAACCCGAAACCCTGTTCCCTGCGCCTTCAACCTGGGTGGTTGTCAAAATTAGGGTCCCTTTTTGGGTACCCTAAATACCAGGTGCCGTATTGTAATAGGGACCCAAAAAGGGACCATAACTTTGACAACCACCCACCTCTGCCGGCTTCTGCTGGATGTACTGCTCGGGGCTGATCCTCTCGAAGTTCTCGTTCGAAACCTCGAACCAGTCGTCCTGGATGGGCTCCTGCAACTGTTGATGGACAAAATCCTGGTGACCCTAAGGACTCTAAACTATGGGAATTATGGTATATTCCTTATGATAGCCCTTATAGTAGCCCTTATAGACCTCAACCCCCCGAAGTGGTATCGGTAATTACTTAAGCCCATAACGGCTAATGCTGGATTTTGTCCATCGTCAGAAGCGCAAGAAAACAAAGGCACCCGGAAATGAAATCCCCTTTCAGGGCCCCCAATGTCCCTTAATTAAGGAATCTTCCTTAAATTATAGTAGGATCCCTAATATGATTTAAGGAATATTCCTTAATTAAGGGATATTGGAGTCTCTGGGTTCCAGGGCCCCCAAACCCCGAAAAGTAGGAGGATGCTTCTACTTAGGTTCCGTTTCTGGGCGCAGAGAGTCCCAATACACCTTCAACTCAGGAATACTAACCAGTGGTTTTGGGGTTCCCTTGGCTCTTTAGCTCCTTATTTAATAGGGAGTATCATCATCCCTGGCTCCTTAGCTCCTCCAATATCAATGGTTAGAATAAGCCCCAACTTCCCTTGATTCAGGAACAAGACCTTAAGTCATAACGGTAAGGCCCCCATGATTTAACGCATACTCAAGGTCTTTTGTCTGGTTCTTGGTAGGGAATGGGAGAAATATAATCCCTTATAGTAGTCCCAATAACCGTTCCCCCATTCCTTACTAAGACCCAATCAGTCTTGGGCATTCCCTGTCCTGCGAAACCACGTTCACGAACTTCAACTTCGGCTCCCACTGAAAGTTGGAAGATTCCCAGTCCTCAGAAACCGCCCGGCGATGCTCCACGCCAGAAAGAGCCCCCTCTTAAAGGGTTCAGGGTTCAGGGTATATAGGAGTTCGGGATTAGGGTACCGGTTTAGGGTTTAGGGTACAGGTTTAGGGTGCAGGGCTTGGGGCGCGTCTCTCAAAGCCTTGCTCTCCCCAGCTTTCCTCCGTTGTCCAACAGCCACACGCAGACCAAAAAAATTGCCTCATCGCCGAAACCTAAACCCACAACCCAAAAAGCTGAACTTAAACTCAAGACTTCCTAGACCATTGGCCTCCGCCTCTCGAAAAATGTTCTTGCTAATGTAGGGGCCTTATCACTAGCATAGGGTTTTAGGGTATATTATACCACAGTTATATTGAGGAACCCCGAAATGGTCGAGACAACTACTGAGCCCCCCTTATAGTAGGGGGGTGCAACGCAGCCGGGAATCGGTCTGATGGATGTTGCCCTGCACGTGATCGAGGCAGGCTTCCCTCCAGCGAGCAGAGTAGAGAAGCTCGATCTGAAATCGCTGCTTCACCTGAACAGGGCTGAGGGTTCAGGATCTAGGGTTTAGGGTTGAGGGCTTAGGGTTCCGGATCTAGGGTTTAGGAGGTTTAGGGTCGAGGGCTGAGGGTTTAGGGTTCAGGATCTAGGGTTCAGGCTTTAGGGAGGAGGGTCATGAGCACCTGAAATTGGTGTCTTTCCTGACACCGGGATCAATATGGCAAATAATGTCTAGGACTGAGGATCCCAGCCCAAAAACGGTTAACCTTTTAAGTGATGGTAGGGGTTTAGGGTTTACGGGTTACGGGTTTAGGGTTTAGGGTTTAGGGGTTTAGGGTTTAGGGTTTAGGGTTTAGGGTTTAGGTAGGATTACTGACCAAGGGTTTTGGGGTTCCCTTGGCTCTTTAGCTCCTTATTTAGTAGGGATTATCATCATAGCTGGCTCCAACATCAATGGCTAGATTGTATAAGCCTCAAAAGAATAAAGGTTACCTACTCAGCCCCTATGTTGTGGATCAGGCATGTGGGTAGTTCTCTAAATTAAAGTCCTAAGTCCTGTTTTGGGTTCCCTCTATCATGCGGCACCCTTATAATGAGGACCCGCTTTTCTATTTAGAGAACTCGCCATGGGAAGGGTACAAACCCAAGACCCTCCCAGGAGCAGGGACGGCTGGAAGGACCCAAGGAATTGCGAAACCCGGCGCGCACCGCTCAAGCGAACTCCAGAAGTCCAACGTCAGCCTCAAGCGCCCTAAGGACCAAACTGCCAACAGTATGTTGAAGAGTCCCTTGGAGTTGCATGATCAGCCTGAAGAAGACTACATAAGCAGAGTCGCTGTGTCGACCTCGTTGACGCGATCCAGGAAGAACCACACAAACACCTCGATACGCAGAGCAGAGCAGAGCAGAGCAGAATTTTAGAAGTGGCTTGGGGCTTCAGGGTTTTAAGGGTCTACGGTCCTACGGTTGGGGTTTGGGGTTGAAGGGCTTAGGTGGCTTCAAGGTTTTAGGGTTTACGGCTTCTTTGGGTGCTGAATGATGAGTTTGGGTGGTTGTCAAAATTAGGGTCCCTTGTTGGGTCCTTAATATAAGATGGCCCCTATTTTTTGGGGGGGTACCCAAAAAAGGACCTCAATTTTGACAACTACCCGTTTGAAGTTTGGGGCTAGCGGTCCATGGATTGGAGTACAGAGTCCGGGTTAAGGCTTCAAGGCTAATCTTCGGGGCCCGGCATAATACGGATTACGATTTTAGGGTACTGTAGAAATTACCCTAGGGATCTAAGGACTCATTTTTTAAGGCTTTTAGGGGTTGGGGTTGGGGCTTCTGTCTTTGCAGGCTTTTTGTTTATGTGCGCGTCTCGACAACTGCACTGTACTCTGCCACTGCCTTGAACTCCAAACTACCAAGGCCTGCAAACCTAACAGATTCCGCTAGCCTGGGCCTGCCGCCCCAAAATCCTAAACCCCAACCCAACACTCAAAAATGAGGGACCCTTATAGAATCCCCACATATCCCTTTAAAGGGACTCTATCAAGTCTGACAGGGCTTTAAGGCTCAGAGTCGAGAATGTCTGAAACGCACTTCGCTCAGAAGCAGTCTAAACCCTAAACCCTAAACGTCAAAAGTTCAGTTCTTCCCGCCTCGCGCGGCCACTGCGCGGAGGAAGCCGAAGGCAGCGCAGCAGCCTCTTAAGGTTTAGGGTTTAGGGGTTTAGGGGTTTAGGGGTTTAGGGTTTAGGGCATAGGGTTTCGGGTTTAAGGGTTTAGGGGTTTAGGGGTTTAGGGCTTCAAGATGTGTTTCAGGCGCGAATCGAGTTTAAGGCTTCCGGGAGAACTTCACCCACATTCGGAGATCAGTCTGCAAGTCTTGCACTGAGTACGCAGTGGAGATGTTGGATTGCAAACTTCGGCCATGCCCCCACCTCAAACTGGATATCGAAAGCCCCAGAGACGGCGGATGACATGAATCCTGCCTTACCTTAAGGACCTTAAACTATGGGAATTATGGTATACTCCTTATTATGGGTAATGCAGGATTTATATCATCAACGGAGTATGCCTAAACCCTAAACCCTAAACCTCGCAGACGTGCCGGGCACACCTCAACAGCGTCCGTTTCTGTGTCCTTCAGGGCGTTCCCGGCTTGCCAGGCGGCTGAGGAGTTTTGAATTTAGGGGTTTACGGGTTTAGGGCTTTAGGGGTTTAGGGGCTTAGGGTTTAGGAGGGTTTTAGGGCTTTAGGGTTTAGGCGTTTAGGGCTTTAGGGTTTACGGGTTTAGGGTTTACGGGTTTAGGGCTTAGGGCTTTAGGGTTTATGGGTTGGGGTTACAGTAAGGCCTCGTTATCCAGTAACTGCATCTTGCACAGGTCCGAAGAGCTCAACGAGGCTTCTGCAAGCAGTATGGATGCCTGACACTCTTCCATTCCATAGAATGCGAATACCAAGGTATTCTTGAATGAAGAATCCTAAATTCACGCTGATCCCAAGCTAAACCCCAAAGGCCAGGGCAGTATAGGGGCCTTAATCTGTACCTGAACCCCCAAAACCCCACGTGTTTAGAACTCCTTAATCTGATTTCCTTATATAAGTGCTTTCTAAAAGGGTAGAATTTTCGGGATTCAGGTAGAAACTAATTAGGTTGGCCCCCGCTTCCGGCTGTCGTCCTCATGGAGCAAGCTCAAGAGCAGGTGTCCGTCTGCGAAAGCACGGTCCTACGCACTTCAGGTTTTCGGAGAGTTTAGGGTTTAGGGTTTGAGGTTTAGGGTGTGAGGATTGGTCGGTTTTTATAAGGACTTCATTGGGTTCATAGGGAGCTCTTAGAATGCTCTTTGGAGTTCATTTATAGCGTCTGCATGCTTCTCTGCCTTGATGCTCACTGTATGAGAAAGATGCACACATGAAATCTCTGAAGCTGCCCTGGAACTTCAGCAAAAACATCAGGCCCAGAGAGCCCAATTCTCCTCAATTAATTAAGCAATATACCGTGAATTATAAGGGGCTTCATATTATGACATAAGGCATATTCCTTAATTAAGGGGTATTGGGCTCTCTGGGGGACTTCAGGATCAAGTTCCATATCCGTCAAAAGACTCAGACTGAGGTCTCATATGATGCCAGACCGAGCTTTGCACTGAATCTCAATCAACACATTCCAGTTATATGAACTACACGTCATATGTACTTTTCCTGCTATTACACTGGTTAGATAGTTTGCCTCGATATGTTCTACCACATACACTAGTCCAGATACGATATAGAAATCATAGTCCATACAAGGTGCCGGAAAAGAACAACAACAAAAATTATGTAAAAAAGAGAAAAAATGAAATAAAAAAAAACATAAAAATAAAAACAGACGTGGCCTCGTCCTCAACGCACAATCGGCTCCGGAGCCTGCTAGAGCTTTGCGTAGCTTAAGCCTTTAAGGTGAAGGGTCTTAGGATTTGGGGTCGTCGTCAGCATGATGGTCTCTTTGTGGGGGTATCCTAAACTATTAAGTGCCGTCTTGAATTAAGGACCCAAAAGGGACCATACTTCTGACAACCACCCATTGAAAGGCTGTAAGGCACACCACAGCGGAACCAAACGCTGCGTGCCACGAGCCTCTTTGCGGCTTTGGTGGAAGCATCCTTTTCTTCCGCACGGCGCTTGAGACAGCTCATGAACACCCGTTCAGGGTTCAGGGGCTTAGGGCTTAGGGTTTGGGGTTGAGGGGATTGGGGTTAGGGGCTCTGCGAAGAGCTTGCACCTCTAATCACTATCATGGTGTCGGATACTATCGCTTGGTGTGCTATGTCCGCGGTGTTCCAAGATAGGCGTCCTTGATTGTTCGACTTCGACCCACACAGAGATCTGAAATCAACAGGCAGCACCAGGGATGTGCGAGAAGCAACGACATGGTGGGGTTTTGAGTTACCATTATGGTAACTTAAGTTAAACTCCTTAACAAGAACCCACTTTTAGGCATGAGGGGCTTGAGGCTCTGCAGCTGCCCCAGGCGAGACCGTGTGGCAACTACGACGGAGCACCGAATCCAACAGCCTGCAGCGTGCGACGTGAATGACAAGTTCCACAAGGACTAGGGGTTCCTTTAAAGGGGGCAACTAAGGGCTACGCCGATACAAGGGTTTAAGGTTCCACAAGTTCATCTTCAAGAAAACCGTGCAATTCACACGGGGTGGACCTGCAAAGACATGTGTTTCCCCCGCTCACGAGCTCGAGCACCGCGCACGAGCGTCGTCCCTGCCCTGCATTGTGCCATCACAGGCTCTGCGGCTCTGCCTACTTGGAGGAGCATGAGACTTAGCAAGGCTATAAGTACCTTAATTGGAGCCATAAGTCATTGTGACTATAGTTACCTGATTTACAAAAGGTTGTAAGTATCTTAATTGGAGCTACAAATAATTACAACTAGCATGTATAGCCCTACCTTAAACTACCAAACCCACTCCTTTGTGGGCTCTTATCGTAAACCCTATCATGGGATTTATAGGGCACCCCTACAAAAAAAGTAGGGTTTTGGTAGGTTAAAGTAATTTAAGGAATTTAGGGGCCTTAATAAATAGAATATCGGGTTCTGGTGCCCATAAGTAAGTAAGGCTATAAGTACCTTAATTGGACCTACAAATAACTACAACTAGCATTTATAACCCTACCTTAAACTACCAAACCCACTATTTTGTGGGTTCTTATCGTAAAACCTATCATGGGATTTATAGGGCAGCCCTACAAAAAAGTAGGGTTTTGGTAGGTTAAGGTAACTTAGGGAATCTAGGGGCCTTAATAAATAGAATATCGGGTTCTGGTGCCCATAAGTAAGTAAGGCTATAAGTACCTTAATTGGAGCTACAAATAACTACAACTAGCATTTATAACCCTGCCTTAAACTACCAAACCCACTATTTCGTGGGCTCTTATCGTAAACCCTCTTATGGAATTTATAAGGGCGCCCCTACCAAAAAAGTAGGTTTTGGTAGGTTAAACCCTATATAACCCTAAACCCTAAACCCTGAACCCTATACCCCCAACCCTTAAAACCTGACCCCCTATAAACCCTAGAGGGAACTCCAGAAAGTTGGAATATGGATTCATGGTAGGATCCCCTTTAATTTACCTTAAAGGGGTTACGATAATAAATTTCCAACTTTCTGGCTTCTACTGTATAAACCCTAGTTGCTAAGTCCCATGATCCTCTGCTCCCGGCTCACCCCGGGCTGAAGAAGCCGAAGTTGGCTCAAAGGCCCTATTTTGGGGGGGGGTTCCTTATAAGGGTTACTTTAAAGGGCTCCTTAAAGGGATCTATGTAAGGGTTTTAGGGTTTAGAGTTTCCCAAAGAGCCCAATACCCCTCAATTAAGGAATATAGCCTAAAAATATAAGAGGATCCCTAACATCATTTAAGGTATATTCCTTAATTGAGGGATATTGGGCTCTCTGGCTTCTTGAGCTTCTTGAACCCTAAGCCCAGTTCTCCCGTAGTGCTACAGTTGGGAGTTTCCCAAAATAGGGTACCTAATTCGGGGGCCCTTATAATAAGGATCCTTCTATTTAAGGTACTATATTAGGGTTCCCTTATTTTCGGAAACTCCCAGTCGAAGTCCCATGTTGAGGGTTTTGGGCTTGAGCAGCAGCGGCATGTGAGCAGCGTAGATCTCGGCAAGGTGCTGCCCAGAGCCTCCAAAACCCCTTAATTAAGGAATATACCTTAAATTATATTAGGGATCCTATTATAATTTAAGGTATATTCCTTAATTAAGGGGTTTTGGAGGTTCTGGGTGGCTTCAAAAACGCAGCTCTCAAAGTGTGAGCACACCAAACTGGGGGCCTTTCTGCGGTTCGCCGCTTCTCATGCGCAAGGAAGGATCCGGTCGCGGCTTTCGGGTCGAGTAAAAGATCCGGTCCATCCCAGAAACGCGGGAGGATCTCGAAAGCAGAACCCAGAGCCTCCAAAACCCCTTAATTAAGGAATGTACCTTAGATTGTAATAGGATCCCTAATATAATTTGAGGTATATTCCTTAATTACGGGGTTTTGGAGGCTCTGGGAACCGATAATATCGGACCTCCTTTTGGGAAGCCCTTGAAGGGATATGCATGGAACACCGTGCGATTTCGGTCGGTGATATCATGCTCCGGCTGAACCACAGGCTGCAACCGCACCCCTCATCGGTTACAAAAGGAGCTTCTGAAAAACCGGGTACTTTCCTGTCGGGCCCTTAGAATACGGATCCTTGCATTCATTCTTCCGCTACTCTCTGAAACTCCCATGTCGTGCAAACCGGAAAGCGCACACGACGAAACGGTATGACCGCTCTACAGGCAAACTCTGTACACGTTCTGACGCTCCCGCTCAGTGCATCTCGGTGACCCTGCACGGTGTGAAGGGGCGGCCCACAGTGGTGTCACCGATGTCCTCGTTCGCTGCTGGCTGTGGGGTTTCTGCGCGCGAACCATCGTTTTTGTACACGACAATGGTCTTGTCATCGTTTTGCTTGAGGTGGCCGTTGGCATCCTCTCCCACGTGCGCCACGGAGAACCGTTTTCCATCCACGTCTCCGATTCGAAACTTGCCGATCTGCACAAAGCGATCGCCGAAAGTGATGCCCTTCGGCGCGCCGAGGACGCGCGCATGTGGACCAGAATACAAGCCGCCGAAATGGAGGTGTGTATGCACGCCCTCACGCGAAAATGCCAGTATGGAGAGTCGCCCATGATGGAAGTGCCCACTCGAGATGGTGAGGTAGTCTTTGTTCTCGTGACGGATAGAGCCAATGCGAAAGCTGTGTAACTCGATGAAGTGGTCGCCAAATCTCACCGATGGATGGCGAGGCTCGAAGTAAGGGTGCCAGCCGCCCCAGCCTGCGTTGGGTCCGTTAACGACGATGCCAGTCCCGCTCAAGATGAGGGCAGTTTGGCCTTCTCGGTGAGAGATCGAGAAGTGCATGTGGTCCGAGTGGACGACCAGGCGCCAGTCCCCGAACTGCAGGAAGCCGTCACCTCAGGGATTTACTTACCTTTGGTTAGTAGGGAATGGAAGAATGGTAGTAATAGTAGTTATAACTGTACCCCATTCCTCCATTCCCTACTAACCAACGGAAAGTTTAGGGAGCTCTTTCCTAAAGCTTGGGGAGGTGACTAAGCTAAGGTGGCCAGGCCAAGCCTGCGGTGATTCCGGGACAGGTGCCGGTGCTGCTCTGGATGAGGCCGCAATGCGACTGCAACGGCGTCTCAGCCAAGGTCTGTCCAAAGCCCACAACTCCCCCGAAAAGGCGCCCATCCCATCTGAAGATTCGGATGGTCTGGTGTCCCTTACTGACCACGAGATGAGCCCCATCCGTGTCCCCGAGCCGGAAGTTGCCGATCTCAAGGAAGTGCTTCCTGGGTTCTTCTTTACTTTCAGTCACCATAATTTAGGGCTCCTTTAAGGGATCCATAAGGGTTCCTTTTACGGCTTTAGGGTTTAAGGTTTACCATAATAGGGATCTATAGTACATAACATGGTTTATTTTACTATGGCTTAAAATAAATCCCTTAACACGAACCCAGATTCCCATACCGGACGCCGCTGGCGGGCCCGGCGACGAACTCCCCCCGCCAGGCATTCCAGTCTGTTGTTCCCGGGAATACGAGCCCGTCCCCTCGGTAAATCACGGCAGTGCTACCAGACATGTGGGAGATGGTCAGGTGGTTGCCGTCCATGGCTGCCAAGCGAAAGTTGCCAATCTGCAAGAAGTTTCTCCCGAAGGTGACACCGTGAGGAAACCCGATCGGCCTATCCCACGAATTGAAGTCTTTTCGGGGTCCTGGGTGCGTTGTTCCATCGCTTCGGAAGATTTGTGCAGTCCAGCCATCGCTGTGAGAGACACTGAAATGGTTGGCGTCGATGGCTGCCAGACGAAACTTGCCGAGCTGCACGAAGCGGTCGCCCCATGCACCAAAGCTCTGATCGCAGGGGCCAAAGGCCATATCGCCGATCTGAGGACATGGGAATTTATGCGCGGGTCGGTTGACGAAGCTTTTGCGAAGGCCCTCGTTGTCAAGGGCTGCCACGTTCTTGACGTCAAGATGACCATTGCTGTGCCACTGCTCAATCAGCCTGTTGGTGGCCATTCCACCCTTGGCATTCAATATCACCACAGAAGAACCGGTGTATCCCAAGCGAAACTGGCCGATCTGGAGATACCTCAAGTGTCGATGGAAGCCCAACACGTGCTACTGCAACAGGAGTGGGTTCACGACGTCGCGTCCATCGCGTATCCGCGAAACCAACCCTTGCAGCCGGGGTGCGCCCATCCCACGCTGATTCCCGTCGGAGGTCCCTCTGGGCGGTCGCGGACGGTGCGGGCCTTGTCTTCGAGTTTGCGAGCATGTGACGGGAAGGGCAACGTTGGGCCCGAAAGAGCATAGTTTGGGATTTCGGCTGGGTGACGTGGTCTCTCAGCTTCGCTACCTTGGCCTGACCTTATGCAAACGTAGCAGACGAAATGCTGATGGACCATGAATGTCGTGGTTGAACTTCCACTCGCGAAGACAGCCCGGGGTCGCCTGGTCCACGTGCCTCAGCTGAAGAAGAACGTCATGCAAGTGACAAGCCCGCCAATGCTCGACAGGCAGTTTCTCAGCTTTGTCACAGACACGGAGAGAGAGAGAGAGAGAGAGACAGAGAGAGAGAGAGCAAAATTCAACAGTACATCTACAACTATCCGAGCAACCAAGTTCAATCTCTTCCCCAACACTCACACTCAAGCAGACATTCCTTTGTCACGTCAAGTCGATCTGTCCAGTCTTGAGCCAATGCCATTCGGCATCGTAGCATTCATAGAAGCATCATGACCATTAGGTGCATCATTGGGCTCGTGTCATTTAACACAGTTCCTTGATCCTGATTTCAGTCGAGGATCACTGAAACAGACTGAAACATTTAACGAGCACAGGTAGCGGCATCGCAAAGCGATCAAGAAACATTCGAAGAGACAAACAATCAAAGCTGCGCTCGACTCGGGATGACATTCGAGTCCTTGTGAAAAGCATTGGGAGGCCAGTTTGCACTGTACATTGCGAACTTGCAAGCAGTCGGCTCATGCTTCGTTCACCTTGCATCAGAGAATTTCATTCTCAGCAAACCACTGGAGAAATCCATTCAACATTTCAACATAAACTCCAAATTGCAAAGCAGTTGCAGTCGCGCACTCCTAAATTGATCGCCAGGCTCAGTGCGATGACTTGACAGTGCCCTGGGCATTCTTCCGCAGGACAATCGCAGCGCCGTTGGCAGTCTGGGCGAGAGCAGTCGCCATTGCTGCATTGCGATCGTTCGGTCATTCAGTCATTGGCGGCCTCAGTCTCATTCATGTCCATATCATCCCGGATAAAAAACAGTCGTGCTCCAGTCCACCTCCGACGGCTTGGTTGAGCGGGACCAATATATGTCCCACTAGCCATTAACCTTCACTCATCGAGAGTTTGTCCGCGGGTGGTTGCCAACATTCCCCATTCAGTGATCTCATTCAGGGTCAGCAACATTTTGGGGTCGCGGCAGCATATTGGATCATTCATTGGCATTCGCATGATGGCGGCACTGCACTGACAGTGGCCCCAGTGTCCAGCGCCAGCCACTCGGGCCACATCCATCCCATTCGTGGCGTGGTCACAGTGAACTGGCGAGTGAAATAGCTCGCCGGCTTCATTCTGGCATTGCCGCCAGATTCGCCAGCAGTCCGTCGCCGCATTGCCGCAGTCTTCGTTCTGCGGAACACGACAAAGGCAATCGGCTCCTCATTCTCATTCGGCTCGAACACATCTTGGTTCGCCCATTGCACAATCTTGCGCAGCGCACTCAGCGCATGAAACTGCCTCTCAAGGCTTCCCACTCAAATTCTGCACACGTCGCTGCACCAACGTTTTGCCGCACCTCCGAACAAGTGGTACAAGCGAACTGCTGTGTGCCTGCCTACCCCATCTAACCCGACTGTAGAAACCAAAACCATGTTGTTGTTGGATATCCGTGCCGGTGAAAATACTCAGCGGCAGCGAGCATATCCGGGAACAGACGCATTGTCTCCAGAAGGCGCTGTGCGGTGGCCGTGGGCAAACGAGGTAGCAAAAGTATCGAAGAGACCTCCTGCGCATAAATCTCCATAATTTTCTGGTTGAGCCACCGGTCTCGCCTTCTGACTAGTTCCCCGTTTTCTGTTTGTCTGTAGGAGCCATGTCGCCCCACCGGCCCGGAGCGAACCCAAATCAAGAGGCTTCAGAATGTGACCCGGAATCTTGTCCAACCCAAAAACAGCGATCTTTGCACAACGTTGCCGAAAGGTGCCCGGAGACATAGGCCAAAGCTTCTGCATCGGGCTCTTGTGCTTAAGATGATCCTCATGAGTTGGGGTTGGTCGACCCTTAATGCCTGATGGCGGGCCACGGTAAACCGCGTTTTGGATTCTTTCACAGACATCAGTATATAGTCTACGGTGTAGTCGACGTCACTTGGAAGTACCAGCTCCCCGATTCTAGCCAGGCCTCCCCATGCAAGCGCGAGTATGCCTGCCACATCCAGCCAGCCCCAAAATAGGGCTGCCGAAAGAAAAGCCAGGAGCACCTGCCACGCCATCGCCTGGTGGTGTATGTGAGGCTCATAGCGCTGCCACTGAAAAGCCACATCCCAGGCTGGCTGTAAAAATCGTCGCAGCTTTGGGTGCCTTGACGAGAAGGCCAGCCCCCACGTAACGATTGTACGGTCGCCCTGCTTGGTACGGCGCCTGCGCATAGCGGAAACAGCGTTGACATCGTCGGCATCGGGGATGCCACAGGACTCAAAGAAATCCTTCGGTATACCCCGATCCAGTCCGGAAGCATCCCCCACAGCATGTCCCGTAGCGTCTCAGGTCGCCCCTCAGGAAGGGGTCTGTCTCGGCGCAGTTTGTGTCTTGATTGACGCCTTTGTTCCTAGGGCCCAGGCTTCCATGCCTAAGTGGCACGGCAGAACTAAACCAAACACCCCCAGACCAAACCCAGAAGAAACCAACCCTGAAGAAATCAGTGGGGGACTAGCCTGCACCAGGAAATCAAAGCGAGGAATCAAAGTCCAGAGAAGGAGGCCGATAAAGGAGAGCCGCCAATCCAAGATGCCGTGCCTGTCTTGGCGCGAGGGAGGGCTCCAAGTCCAAAGTCGAAGGAGCAGACGGGCCCAGTTCGCCGCCCACCTTCTAACGCGAGAGAAAGCAGCGAGAGCCTCACACGCGCATCATCAACAAGCCGTCCCCGACCGACCTGGGGATCTGAGCCTCAGGGCTGATGGGACCTCGAGTCGATTGGCGAAGTGAATCTCACCTGGACCCGAGCTCTTGCCTGAATCACGCAAAGGCGCTTGAAGGCTCCTGTTTCGAGCACATTGACGTGGCGGCGCTGCGAGGGCGGAACGCGTACGTTCGGGAAGCGACTGTGAGCCACATCATTGATCAAGGGGCCCTCAAGCCCGTACGCCTCTAGCTCGAGAGCGGCACGCCTCTCTCGAAGAGAGCAAACCCCTCGAAAAACCTCGGCAATCGAACCTAAAAACTTCGAAAGCGTTGAACACCCGCACAGCATCCTGCAAACCGACCTGATCATCGTAGCCGTCCTTTCGCGTCGGCCGAGGCTGACCCGCTTCAACGCCAAACTTTCTACCTCGGACCTTCGCTCACTTGGGCTCGAGGCACGCCATCCTGGTGTAAGGCTGTAAAGGGGAACCTACGGAGAGGGGCCTCCCACAGTGGCTGCAAGTGTCTGCCGGGCCCCTCAACAGGCAAAGCAAATGGGCCCGTGGCCCAAGCTGGGAGACAGATGGGGAAGGAGCAAAACGCCATGAAAGAGAGGCCCATAAAAGTCGGACCCAGGGCCTAGTCCGGTGAGGCGATCAAGAGCTCGCCCAGACTGTCAAGAAGTTGTGCTTGGGCGCCCAGACGAGCTCACTGCAAATGGCTCAACGGCACCGCACCGCGGGCCGGCAAAGGCGGGTCACACAGGCTATGGCTCTCGCCTGTGCGGCGTTCGGCTGACGGTGCAGGGCCTGCAAAGGAGGGGGCACACCGTTTGAAGCAACTCTCCTAAGTGCAAGAGACGGGACCTCACTCCGGAAGACTTTGCAAGCGGGCCTGCGGGACCAGGAGCTGTGTCCAGAAGGAGATGCAGCATATTGTTTAGAAAAGTCCCAAAAGTGCACCTAGTTCGTAGAACCGTAGCAGCGAGCGTCAATCCATGAGCCCGAAAACTAAGGCAGCCGCTCGTCGGGGACACGGGAGAAGGGCTATCGCCACCCTCAAAAGCATGCAGTTCTCTGCTAGGACCAGAGGCACCTCCACACTGGCAGGAAATGAATTGAGCATAGGACCAGCAAGCTTCCCCTGAGCAGGCTACGGCGCGAGCAGGTGGCTTTCATGGCACGCAGACCTGAGGCAGAGGAGCCTGGAGCACGTGGGAGCCAGCACCTTCCAAAGGAAAGGAGCGAAGCACCCGAAAGAGGGCACATCGCAAGTGGTGATTTTTCCGAAAAAAAAAACCCACACTTGCAACTGCCGTCATGTCGCATAAACCTTGAGGCTAGGGTTTGGGTCAAAGGGAATCCAGGAGAGCCCAGACGGACGCAAACCCAACAACGGCGAAGCCTACATTTTGGGGGCCTAAGGCTAGGGCTTGGGCAGCAGGCCTGTGGCACCACAGACCCAAACGCGGAGGGTCCTAAACCGAAGGGGCCTCGGGTTAGGGTCAGGCTGCAGGCCATGCAGGCCGTCGAACAAAGCAGAGTGAGGGCTCAGGATGAGCCTCAAGCTGTAGACTTTTTGGGTTTTCTGGGGAACCTTGGTCGCTTCGGCTTGGCAGCAGGTGTCGGATCTCCTTCTGCAGAAGGAGGCTTCGGACGGCTCTGAGTTGCTTCCGCGCACAGGGTCTGTATCAGATCTATTTCGCGGATGTACGACATCCGCCAAACGCCCGGACCCTGGGATTGCACTCTGCGGGCGATGCTGGAACAGCTGACGCGAAGGATGCTCTAGGAGGCTGCGAAGGTACCCTACTTCCCACGACCCCCCGTCTTGAGCGCATTGCTCGATCGCAATGAGGCCGAGAGCCGTGAGCTCCTCTGCGGGGCCAACAAGGCTGTCCGCTGTGTTCGAAAACAGCCAGAACTGTTGCGACACCTGCAAGAGCAACCCGCTCCTCTGAGCAAGCTGCTCCTGCAGCCGTTCTCTCTTCGTCGACCCCCTTGTTCCCAAAGAAGCCCTGCTACGGCCGCGAGCCCGGCGTCCACGCCGTCGCCCTGAGAAATCACCGAGGGCCAGAACGCTCTGTTGGACGTCGGCAGAGTGATCTCGCCGGCGGCCTCTCCTCGTCTGCAGCTGGGGCTGGTTGAGAGGGGGAGGCGCCAGAAGAGGAGCCCTTAGCTTGGGGATTTCCCACCAAAGAAGCGGCAGGGGACAATCAAGACTTTCCAGACTAGCTCCACAGTAATGGTGCACTTTCATTCAACGGCCCAACGGCAACACTGGGTAATCCGGCGCAAACCATTCAGAACAACACTTCGTGCAAGCTCCACTGCCGAACAGTGCATGTGAATCTCAATCAAGCTGTCGTCAAAACCCATCGGATCATTTTCGGGCATTTGCGTCAAGTTTTGGCACACTCGGAGTCGGCATTGGTGGCACTCCGGAACTCAGCGCAACAGTCAACAAGCACGCTCCAACGAACAAGTTCGTCACCAGTCCGGGCTTTGCTCCCCGAACAGTCCTTGAAGACTTGGGTGCACTCTGATCCAACGATTCGACAGTTCCTGCTGAAACAGTCTGTGGTGGTTCATTCTTGGCGGTGTCCTGAGGGACATTCCAGCGCCATTCGAGAATTGCTGCTGAGCCTCAGTTGGACTCCACCAGTCCTGAGCGTCCTAGGACCAGTCCTCAGGCCAAGAACTCCAGTCGTCCTCGTACCAAGACCGGTCGCCGGACCGATCATCAAGACAATCCATCCACTCACCATTCATCCCAAGACCGGTCATCATGAGACCAGTCATCCAGACTCCATTGGCTCCAGTCATCACCCCATTCGCTTCCACTTCGTTGTTCAGGTTCAGTCACCGCTAACATTTTCCTCAGCTTTAGAGCAGTGCTTGCTCCAGCGGCTTGGGTCGCCACACAGAAAACATGCTTGTCCTTTACATTTTCCTTTCATGCCTTTTCCAATTTCCTTTGTATCCTTTGCTCTTTGCTTTGCCTTTTCCGTTGTACATTCCTTTGCCCTTGTATCCCTTTGTTTTTCTCTGGTACATTCCTGTACCTCTTTTGTATCCTTTGCTTTTCCATTGTCCTTTCTTTGCTTTCAGTGCTCCTTGTTTCCAATGCTTCAGTGAACGGTGTTGATATTCTTGACATTTAACCTCAGATGCTGCTTCAACGGACCAGCAGTCTTCTGCATTAGCAACGTTACCAAGAGGTCATCGTCCGGTGGCCTGCCAGTCGTCTTCTCATGTCTGTTCTTCAAGATAATGAACTCACTCAGATCACTTTCTACATGTTGTTCATTGCGCAAGCGAAAACCAATGATTCCATTCCAGAGGTTTGTACATCTCGCTGGCTTTGGCAAAATGCTTGTGCAATCTGCGCCAAATCTCGAATCCATTCTCCGTGTCCTCATTGCGAACAATCGCTCGCGCGGCACCATCAGTGATTTGCGCCAGCATATACGCAGTTGCTCCTTTAGAACAGAGAAAGCTGATCATTCTGGGTGCGGTTCTGCTGAACACTAAAACGTTTCACACAAATCATCAGGTATCATTCGGCTGGATCCTTCAACATCGTCCATTAGCAGCTTGGCCAATGGCTTGTATCGCTTCAGCTGCCACAACCAGTTTTCCCATTTCTCCAACTTCCCCAACCCTTTGATCTCTCCGCCAGTCCCTGATTCTGGAGCCGAAGCTCCGCTACCATGCAAAACTCAACAGTACAATCTACAACTACCCGAGCAACCAAGATCAATCTCTTTCCCCACCACAGTCACACTCAAGCAGAGATTCCTTTGTGACGTCAAACCGATCTGTCCAAAATTGAGGCAATGCCATTCGGCATCGTAGCATTCATAATAATGCTAGAGAGAGAGAGAGAGAGAGAGAGAGAGAGAGAGAGAGAGACAGAGAGAGAGAGAGACAGAGAGAGCAAGAGAGCAAGAGAGCAAGAGAGCAAGAGCCCTGCGCAAACTGCAAACTGTCATGGAAAGTGTCACATGTCTTGCAGCTGCGGTTGCGAAACCATGAGAGCAAAGTCGTCCGCGCCCAAGCGGAAGCTTCCAATCTGGATGAACTGGAAGCCCATTTTGATGCTGCTTTTCACGTGTTCTGCACCTCTGCCCCTGCAGACAGAACTCTGCATGCTCAGGCTCCCAGAACCCTAAACCCTAAAGCTCTAAACCCTAAACCCTACTAACGGCGCTAATGTCTCACTCTGCTCCAGGCCTTGTCCAGGCCTCGTTCCTCCATCTCGGATTCGAGAGGAAATTGGTGTCCTGGTTGGCAGCCTGCCAGCCCTTGTTGAAAAGGATGATCGCATTCGAGCGGTCCTGCGGCATCGTCGCATCCCTATAGACTCGAAGGCAAGTGCTACATAGCGCAGAGCCCGAGTCCTTGTGCGTGACGGACAACCACTCCCCCCAATCGTGCTCGGCGATGCGGAAGCTGCCGATCTCAAGAAAGTGATCTCCGAAGGCGAGGTGTGTAACATGTGTCTTGCACTGATGGTCACCTTCGGGTGTCACTTCCGTGAAGGTCGGCGAGGCGGGCTGCTTCACCACCCCGGGCTCGGGCAGGCCGTCAGGGCCAGCAGACCCGCTGCAGCCAAGTTGTTCTGCGCAGGGCGACTCATCGAAGCCATCCGTCTTCCAAGGCTCCTTTGTCTGGCTCTTACTAGGGAACGGGGGAATGGGCTGAAGGGACTACTATAAGCAAGGGACTATCATAGGGATCCATTCCCCCACTCCCTACTAAGAACCAGACAGTCCTTGCAAAAGAGCTTGTCAGAGCTCAAGAGCTCCACCAACTGCAGCTGCAAAGGGAGGCCAAGGCTGGCAATGACTTTTGCAACAATCGTCGCAGCTGTGTCTCCAACTTTTTTCACCACTGTGTCGGTACCCGCCGGAAGACACTTCCCTTTGGGGTCACCTTGTCGCCTGTTGCTGTTTAAACTATCGACCATGGCATCCTTTATCATGTCTTTGAGGTCATCGAACAGCTTGTCCAATGGGGGCGGCAGGGCAAATCCGGTGATGCCCATGTCCATATAGATGCTCAAGACCTGAGGTGGGGTTTAGGGTTTGGTGAGTGCTGCGTAGGTCCGGACCCAATGCCCGGCAACACAGCACTTGCACAAGACAGTGCCTACGGCCGGTGAGTCTGGCTATCGGGTTCGAAGAATGCACCCAAAATCGTGCAGATCACCCTCACCCTGCTTGAAGGAGATGCTCTTTGCTGCCTAGGCCGGCCTCCACAGAGTAGGCTCTAGCACCCCACAGATGTTGTGCCTGGGATCCCGACTGCCGCCGCGCACATCTGGAGTTGAGCTGTGAACGAATGGTCCTGCCAGATAGGTGGTCCCTTGTGGGGTACACCAAATAGTAGGTGCCGTATCAAATTAAGGATCCCAAAAGGGACCAAAATATTGACATGCACCCAGATGGAATGCCCAGAGGCCCTGCACAAGGCTCAACGGTGTAGCACAACCCTCAACCCCCGAATACCCAAATCTTGATCTCTAAAGTTTAAACCCTATAAACCTGAACTGCCTAAACTCTACAAACCCTGAACTCTGAACCCTAGACACTATAAACCTTAAACCCTAAGCTCTCTAAACCATAAAGCAGAGTGAGCCAAAAACGGTCCATGCCTCGGCCCCGCCATCTTTGGACTGCTTGATGTTTGTGCCCGCGCCGAAATCTTTGGACCTGGGAGTTTCCGAAAATAGGGGACCCCAATATAGTACCTTAAATAGTAGGATCCTTATTGTAAGGACCCCAAAATCAGGTACCCCTATTTTCGGAAACTCCCACCTGGAGTAATACTGGATGCTGCCCGAAGCCTCCGCTTTCGCGTGGGCTTGAGGGAAGAAGGTCAACGGAAGTCCCGGAGTTGGCCAGACCTCAGACACCAGAGGCTCACGACTTCGGTGTCGGCTCTTGCGGTCCGGCTGAGGCGGCTGAGTCCACTGCCACAAACTTTGGCCCCACGCTCACGCGCACGGAAGCAGTGGCGCTCGCCGCGACTTTGATTCCTTCCTGCAGAAAACGGACGCGCCCCGCGGAGCCGTGCGGAACATGCAAGACGGGCCTTGCCTTGTACTCGACGTTCTTCACAACTGCATCCACCTTAGACTCCTCTATCTCGCCTGTGTTGATCTCGGCCGTTCCTAGCAAGGAAACCGGAATTCTCGGAGTCACTTGACCGCACCCTGCTGACTTGGTTATATGCAGCGAGGCCTTCCACGTAGAAGTCTACGTCGTACGTTTGCGTGATCGATCCGGTCAGCGTGCCTTCTATCTTCAGTGTCGCAAGCATCTGCATTGCGAAGATGACGCCTGGGTTGCACAGCAGAGGACCCGTTACAAGTCGCAGATCACAGGGTTCGCTGCAGGGCTCGAACGACGAGTGTCACCCGAAAAAAAAGGAAAGTGTGCAAAAGCTGAGGCCGGAAGGCAGCCGCCCTTGAAGCAGAACATCTTCTTCACGGGTTTCTTGGGAAATCCCGTGACAGCTTCGTAGGAGCAAGTGCCTTCTCCCGTCACAGATGCTTCCACGGAAGCTCGCACCCAACCTGACACCTTAGCCTCTGTCTTGACATAGTCGCCGGTTCCTTTGGTCGAGACTTTGACAAAGATATTGTCTGGGTTAAATGCCACGATCGCATCCACCGCAGCGGTCAACTTCCCTTCACAAGATCCGCTCGGCTGCTCTGTCATCTCATCCTTGGTTGCCCCATATGTCTTTGCAAAATGAAGCTCAAGTTAGCAGCTGCAGTTCTCAATACCGCCGAGCTTCTTCAATGGATTTGTCATGGGCCTCAGTGGGGGTGGTCCTGAGTTTCTCATTCGCATCGTTCGCTGCGGCCTTCACCTTGGAGTAGTCAGTGTAAGTAACTTCCTCCTCCGATCCCGGCAGCTGCACGCCTCCCCTTGGCGAAACCTCGCTGCTGACCGCCCCAGTGGAGTCCACCGAAGCTTTCAATCGAAACCCCTTACCAAAGAGCCTGTTGGTAGGCACGCATCTCATCTCCAGGCCGGTCGGCGGTTCCCCGGCTGCGCCGGCAGTGGCTTTTGTGTAGCTCTTCCGGTGGCCGTTTTCCATGCCGCAATCACACATGTTAGCGAAGACAACCTGGCACTTCTTTTCGTCGCTCAGTGCTTCACCAACAATACAATCCATCATGTCCGCGATGGGACCCACCTGCGGGCGCGTAGCCCGTCTGGGTGACTATGGCTTAAGGGTTCTTTCGGACGGGACCCTAAAGTCTCTAAACTCTAAACCCTGAAATCCCAAACCCTAAACCTTTAGGGGCTGAACCCCCTTTTGCGCCAGTGCACATCTTGTGGTCTTAATTCTCAGCAACTTCAATTGAAATTCAAGCCAACTCATGTACTTACACTTTGTATCAATGTGCACGGAGCAACTGTCGGTTGGGAGGATTTGGGCTTGCGTGGGGAGGAATTCAAGCTTTCGTGGGGGCGGGATTCAGGCGTTCCTAGAAATTCGCCCTTTCGTGCGGAAGGGTTCAAGCATTGGTGGGGGAAGTTTGGGCTTTCGTGGGGAAGGATTCGGGGCTTCCGTGGGGAAGATTATCAGCCTTCCTGGGAGTCTGGCTTTCGTGGCAAGAAATCCAGGCTTTCGTGGGATTTTGGGCTTGCGCGGTGATTCGGGCTTTTGTGGGGAGGGACGGCTTGCGTTGAAAGGGATTCGGGTTTTCGTGGGAATTCGGGTGCTCGTGGGGAGGATGTTGATTGCGCGAGCATAAGCATCCGAAACGCTTTATCGAAACTTCGCTTGAAGCGCTGGCGAACTCTAAAATCTAAAACCCTAAAACCCTAAACCCCTAAACCCTAAAACCCTAAAACCCTAAATCCCTAATCCCTAAACCCTAGGCCGGGAGCTCAGAGAGCTCGAGGCTTTGGCTTTGGCTTTGGCAGGATTCCTCCCCACCTTCCTGGCCATTGTCATCGCCTTCCGGAAGGCCTTCCCGGGGTTCTTCTTGAGGGATTTGCTTTGTAAGTTACCATAATCAAGAAAAAGGAATATTTACTGTAGATTGTAGATCCCCATTATGGTAACTTAAGCTAAATTCCTTAACAGGAATCCAGCCTGCTTCGCTAGGGGCATGATGGGCGCCGCCAGCTTGTACCCGGCATGAAAGGTGCTCATGTACAACCCAAGCTTGGCGTGCTTGACGGCCAACCAACCCTTCCCCAAATCTTTGGCCATACCAAGGAGCTCCGCATCCAACTGGTCCCATCGCATGCTCGGAGCACGAATGACACGATCCCCGACCACCGTGACGGTGTTGCCGGCGGCTTCGCCGAGCTTCTTGCCTGAACACTTCCGAACCAGATTCAAACCCTGAATCAAAATTACTACAAAGAATCAAAAAATGAGAACAAAAACATACAATAAAACAAAAACAGAAGCCCTGAGAACCCAAAGGCAGTTTCTTCTAAATCCGAAGGCCAAGCTGCCCACATGTGCCACCGCCTTGGCCCAGTCGCCGAAGGTTCCGCCGATGGCGGCGACGGCTTTACCTCAGCCACTCTTCCAAACAAATCATCTACCTCACAAATGACGGAAAGGATCCGTTTTGAGGACTCGACTAAACCCAAGCCACCCAAACGATAAAACGGATCCCGGACGTTGACCAAGCTTCCGTTTGCCACGGTGTCCAGGGAGCTGCCGGACGCATTCGAGTACTCGCCCACAGAGGTTCTCGAGGAGCGATCGACCAGTGCATGGTGCACCTCTGTGGCAAGCCTGGGCTCTTGTTCAGGGATTTGATTTAAGTTACTGTGCGAAGGAAACCACATTATTTACTACAGGTTCCGATTATGGTAACGTTTACTATAGAGATCCCTGTTATGGTAACATTTACTATAGATCTCTGTTATGGTAGCTTCAAAAAATTCCCTTAACAAGAACCCAGAAACTGGGAAGCCCTCGACTCCGCCAACACTGCGGCAGACTCCAAAGTCGACAAGTTGGATTCCTGCACCGGGGAGCCCCATACTGTCTGGTTCTTAGTTAGGGAATGGGGGATCCTTAAGTTATCCTTTAAGGGATCTATAGGGCTTTAGGGCTTAGGGTCTAGAGTCTGGTTCTTGGTAGGGAATGGGGGAATCGATTATGGAGACTAGTATTGGGGGTTATATAGGGACTACAAAAGGGATCCATTCCCCCATTCCCTGCTAAGAGCCAGGGAGCATACAGAGGCAAGAAACTGCAGCGCTGAACTACAATTCCCCCTACCTAGGAGGGCGGGGTGTGAGGGGGTCGGTGACATAGGGCTGGTCCTATTTCGGGAGGCTTCGTTTACTGTGGGGGGGGGGGGGGGTAACCACTCTGGCAGGGCTACTTCCGCTCATCACTCTGTGTCTCGTGTCTGTGTCACTTCTGTCTCATATTCCTGTCTGATTGTCAATAAAATCAGAGTTTGGAAGCCAGGGCTTTGAGATGTACGTTTCGAGCGTTCTGTTGTTTGCAAAAATGAGACTTCGAAAGCCAGGTCTTTGAGATGTACGTTTTGAGTTTTTTGTTGGTTGAAAGAACGAGAGTTCAAAAGCCAGGGCTTTGAGATGTACGTTTTGCTGGTTGCAAGAATGAGAGTTCGAAAACCGGAGCTTTGAGATGTACGTTTTGAGCTCTTTCTTGCAAGAATGAGAGTTCGAACGCCGAGGCTTTGAACTGTACGTTTGGAGCTTTTCGTTGGTTGCAAGAATGAGAGTTCGAAAGCCAGGGCTTTGAGATGTACGCTTTGAGTTTTTGCTGGTTGCACGAATGAGAGTTCGAAAGCCGGGGCTTTGAGATGTACGTTTGGAGCGTTCTGTTGGTTGCAAAAATGAAACTTCGAAAGCCAGGTCTTTGAGATGTTCGTTTTGAGTTTTTTGTTGGTTGAAAGAACGAGAGTTCAAAAGCCAGGGCTTTGAGATGTACGTTTTGCTGGTTGCAAGAATGAGAGTTCGAAAGCCAAGGCTTTGAGATGTACGTCTGAGCTTTTTGTTGGTCGAAAGAACGAGAGTTCAGAAGCCAGGGCTTTGAGATGTACGTTTTGCTGGTTGCAAGAATGAGAGTTCGAAAGCCGGGGCTTTGAGATGTATGTTTGCGCTTTTTGTTGGTTGCAAGAATGAGAGTTCGAACGCCAAGGCTTTGAGATGTACGTTTTGAGCTCTTTGTTGGTTGCAGGAATGAGAGTTCGAACACCAGGGCTTTGAAATGTACGTTTGGAGCTTTTCGTTGGTTGCAAGAATGAGAGTTCGAAAGCCAGGGCTTTGAGATGTACGTTTGGAGCGTTCTGTTGGTTGCAAAATGCGAGTTCGAAAGCCAGGTCTTTGAGATGTACGTTTTGAGCTTTTTGTTGGTTGAAAGAACGAGAGTTCGAAAGCCGGGGCTTTGAGATGTACGTTTTGAGCTTTTTGTTGGCTGCAATAGTGAGAATTCGAAAAAAGCCGGGGCTTTGAGATGTACGCTTTAAGATGAAGCCACAAAGTTGGAACATTGAAGCCCTCATGCGCAACAAACCAGGTTCCAGGGCATGCAAGTCGGGTGTTGGGGGTGTGCACTTCAAGAGCTAATGAGCAACCAAGAGCATCAGAACACTTTTTACGTAGGGTATGCGGGATTAGGGTGCCCAACTGAATGCCGCCTAGACATGTAAAATCAACCTCTGCGCAATTCGTTACCCGGCGCTGCCTACCGGGGGGCGCCCGAAGCCTTCAGTGCCTTCACAGGCAGGGCTGACCCATTTGAACCTTTAAAACTGCTACGCAGCATTCAGTTCGGGCCAATTTTTTATGTAGTTACAGCAGAGCTTCCCCGCCTCAGCCTTGAAAAATCGTGGCATGAAAATTCGGGCTGAGGCGGCGGAAGCCCCAGGACCAAGGGCCTTAGAGCCGGCGGCCCTCTTCTCCGGTCCCCCAATCAAAACAGAATATAACAAATATGCGGGTTTCAGGAAATCTGGAATCTACTACGTACAGGGGAAGTTTTCTAGCGAACATCAAAAGCCGCAGGGCAAATACGGCCCTGCGGGGCGCCGGAAAAGGGCACCATTTTTGGCATCAAGAGCATCATCCCAAGCCCTCCGAGCGCTTAGCCCCGATATCCTAAGCGTGGATAAGCCGAGCTATGTGCCAAACCGTACTCAAGCCACAGTCTCTACCAGTACTACCACTGATACCGAAATTACTGAAGCGTGTTTTTTATCCAAACATTCAAAACATAACACCGACTACGTCTGAGTTTGGAGAACAACTTAACCACATGATACCACATCTCTCTCTCTCTCAAGAAAATTCTGCCCCCGAAAAAAAACCGAGACACCCCGAAAGCACGATTCCCAGCCTAATTTTTTCGATGTGGGGGACTCTGCCAGAATAAGTGGGCCCACCTAAATTAACCCCCCCATCCCAAGCCCAATTATTTAGGAGGGGGTATGAACTGCCCAACCCTACCCCATAACAGCACCTCCGTAAACTTCACAGCAGCAGCCCAGGGCAGCATCGCCCTGGAAGTTCAAGAACTTGATTCCACACACTCACCAAGCCTCTGCTGATGCAACACCCGGATCTGAGCCCAACACCCAAGCAAAGCCCAGCATCGTAGCCAGGGCCGCGCAAATTGCTTCATTGTACTTTCGGAGATATGTAAACTGTGCACGTCGCCTCGCTGCAAGAGCAGGAGCCAAACTTCGCAGCACGAAACAGCACAAGCAGGGTGGCAACACTGGGAACCAGTCAGAATCTTGCAATCAAGCTTGCACCGAAAGACTCGCACGCTGACTCGATCGGACATTGTTTTCTTTGCTCGGGGATGGCACTGCACTCATTCGCCTCGGACCCTCCAGATTGCGGTCGAGCTCAGCATGATGACTGTTCGGAGCTCACCTCGCAGACAAGCGGACTCTACCCAGAGCCTCCAAAACCCCTCAATTAAGGAATGTACCTTAAATTATACTAGGGATTCTCCTAGACTCTAAGGTATATATCCCTTAATTATGGGGTTTTGGAGTCTCTGGGTACATCTTGGCTTAGTTTAAGGTTGAGGGATTAGAGGTAGCACTGGCGAGGGAGGCTCTATGCCTGCGTGGACTTTCAGCTATGGCTCGCACACTACATCCTAAACACTCATGACCCCCTGACTGTTTCTAAGCTACGGCTTTGTAATACGGTAGAGCTATACTAGGGACAGCGAACGGATGCATCTACCATCGTTATTCAGGCTGAAGCCTCCACTCACCCGCCGCTACCTTCTCGACGTCGCGCTCCTGGCCAAGGGGCTGCTCTTGCAAGCACTTGCATTGGCCGAACCGCTAGGAAAGAAAGCGCGTGAAGGAGCATTGTTATTACGGCATGAAATGCATGCCATCATCCTGCACGTGCATGTGACCCATGTCGCCCATGTCGAACACCTACCCTGGAGCCCACACAGACCGGACGAATACCAAAACTTTCCCCGACAGACCCTCATAACTACCAGCACCGTGCACCGACATCTCCAAGGCTGCGGACATGAATTCCAGCAACAACTCCGGTACTGTCATGTGCATGTCGGGTGGGTTCGATGCTTGCACATCAGAACTGAAGGCTTGCTGAGCGGCGTAGGACGGACGGACAGTATGCACCACAAACCCACTTACCAGCAAAAGGCCTTACCGACCTGACATCCTCGCCGCCGACTGTTCAACAGAGACTGAATTCAATCATTACCGGATCGCACCAACCTGAACTTCAACATTGCCGTCAGGAACAACGCACGCAGAGAAGACTTCAACCTACCTCAACTTAGCTGCCCCTGGAGTAGGAAGCCATTGGTAGTGCTTGGGGAGACATGGCCGGCAGCTCTGAGACAGCCATCCACATTACATGCTGTAGGTTCATGGCGTTATAGAGGATCCTAAAGCAGCCGTTCGTATGATCAATGCCGTCGTTCCGAGCTGGGGATGAAATCCTGAGTGTCACGAGTAAGCTGAACTCCTACTCTCGCGTGGTGCCATCAAGTAGGGGACTAATATAGGAGGGTTATAAATGGGGTAACTCCATTTCGGGTACTGATAACTCTACTTACAACCTACTACTTACCAAGTCTTCTGGGTCTCCAGTAGGGTCTATGGAGCTGTGGCTTGATCCGAGAAGCTTCAAGCGGTTGAAAGTAGGTGAGTGCTGCAAGATACAAAAAAAACTTGATTCCGGCTTCCTAAGCAGCCCCCACGACACAAGTGCTACGCACCAAGCCTCCCATGCAAGAGACCAGCAGCACACAAATTGCTCCCTGGAGAAGTATTTTGTTGCCTTGTGGGAGCTGCTCGCAATCAATCGTAGTTCACAGCTTGTAGTCTAATCACACAGTAGACTCACAGTAGCTCAGAGTATCAGCTCGAACCACCTTCAGAGGACCTGCTTTGCGCAAAGATATATCCGCCATTGGACCAAAGATTTCTCCAATGCAACTCCAAGCAAGGATCTACTTCTATGCACACAATACTTTGCTCAATAAGGTATGATTCATCGGTATGATTCATATGATGCGAATGATGTTGCTAGTTGATCCAAACTTGCGATCCTCTCCATCAAGAAGTCTTCGTATCTCGCCTAATGCTTCAGATACAAATATGTCAGACAAGATTAAGAGCTGTGTCATCTGTGCAATCAATACAGTACGATCCTTGCATATGCTTCTATACTCCCGTGATGATGCTTGCCCGCATGTATCTTCTCCTGAAAGTCGTTCTCCGCAGAAAAGGAGAAAGAAACGTCAGCGACCTGGTCTGAAAAAATCCGCCAGCGCACTCGGGCTGTTTTGATGTATTGCGCGCCCTCGGTTTACACTATCACTGACTACGGCGGCAGCGAGTTCTGCAGCCAGCTATCGGAGAAAGTGCACCCTGCCGAAGCCATGCGGTCAAAGGAAAGCTGGTCGCAAGGACTTTGCAACCAGGTTGCGTCCCTGGTGTGCAGTGTCAGCCTTGTGGGCTTGAGCTGCGGCGTGATTCATTATCCGCTCAGACTGCGGCACCTCCGTGCACTGTTCCGCCATGGGCTCGACGGCTTCTGGAAACTGAAGCCACAGGTGGGGAGGCATGGCACTCGAACGACGTCGCAATGCACGACAACAGACGAAGGCCTTACACTTTCGCTCTTGCCAACTTGCAGCTTTCTTTCGCTGTGACTGTAGTTTTGTGCGCGCGCGAACTGCAGCCGGTGTGTCGGCCTTGAGAATACAGGTTCCCAGCCGAGCCGTGGAAAAGGGCAGTGTCGGAGGCCTCGCACCAAAGCGCTGCACTGCCACAGCAAGAAGGGACTAGAATGAACACAGAGGAAGCGGAACTGCGTCTGGCGGCATGCAGGAAACCATAGCCCTTCAGTGCGGCCGAGCCCCTAAACCGAAAAAAATACAAGGGGATCTCTTTCATGTCGGAACGGCATCTGGGCCCAGCTCTGGCAGCGCCAAAGGGCGCGCAAAGAGGAAGACAGAAGAAGCAGACCACTGCAGGCTTCGCAGGCCTCATGCCCGGAGCCCAGCTGGGTGCGAAGCATGCTGAGACGTCCAAGTCGGCTGTGGGCTGCAGACGTCTAAAGCACGGCCCGCCGGCGCCGGTCGTTGGACGGGGTAGGATGTGCTGCCGCGCCTCGGAAGGCGCGCGGCAAGCCTGGTGGGTGAAAGCAGAAGGATCAGAAAGCCTGAACCACTTGGCCTTGCCGCAAGCCTTCAGGTCTATTCGCGTCTCACTGTTATCAGCAAGAAGCCCACTCATTCCAGGCTGTGGCGAGGGAGCCCACCCTCGCGAACAGTTCATGTCTACCCGGCAGAGTCCTAACTTGAAGTGCAGTTTTTAGGTCTTCAGAGCCACTGAAAATGGGGATCAAACTTGATCGGGGTTATCTAACACTCCAACACAGCATCTAGCTCTCGAACCCCGCCTTCTTGTTTGGGATGTGGGGCAAAAGGCATCGCACCGCAAAAGTACCGCGGGGGTGCCGGGCAAAGTGCATCGGACACGAGCTCCCGTAGCGTTTCGTTAAGCGAGCGGACATCTTCTATGGTCTGGATGCCAGCTCCAAGCTGAAGGCGAGCTGTGATGGGCACTTGATATCAGCCGCCCTTGCTCCGAGATGGTCCGGCTGCGGGTTTGAAAGTCCGCAACCTTGCCAATAGCGGTGAGATTGATGCTCTTGAGTCTCAGCGGAAGTGCAGCAGCCCAGCTGCTCTCTTCGCAGCGGGGCCCCCAATCTCGGCTAAAAGAGCCGCAGCAACTGCATGCCAAGCTTTCCAGCAACTTGGAGATACTGCGTGGGCCTACGTCGTAGACTCGGGACTGCTGTCCGTCGCGCCGCCCCTCGTCTCTTAGGAGCTCGCGGGAGCTGAAGCAGGAGCTGGGCTCAACCTTTGAAGGTAGCTTTGGGAACGGAAGAATGGTAGTAACATTAGTAACTTAGTAGTTATAATGGTACCCCATTCCTCCATTCCCGACTAACCAAAGGTAAGTCAAGCGCGTCGACGGCGGCGAAGTCTGCAGATGCACCCAGCCAGGCGTTTCAGGCATTTGGTCTCGCCATGTCTGGCCCAACAGGCAAGAGAAGCAGATTCTTGGCGGGAGCCCACATGTTTCTGAAGCAAGATGCGATGCGACGGCTAGGATCGTTTCTGAGTGGCTTCGCAGCACGACTGTGCCCACGAAACCCGTCCAGCTTGCACGCGCGTGGACCTACGGTTGGGTTTCCGGGCTTTTCCGCAGGCCTGAGTGTCTAGGAAAGCGATCTGGTTTCAGGGTGATGCCATCGGGCCATCCTCGCAGAACAGCGCAACATTCACCATAGTGCAGAACTCCTGAGCGCTCGCCCTCGTGCTTTTTGGGACTATGGCGGACCAGCACGTCCCGAGGAAGTTTGCATCAAAGTCGTTTTAAGCCAGCCATCACGAAGGCGAGACGACTTTAAGCCGGGTTCCTCAACTTCTGACAGCTGCGCGACCATGCTTTCAATTTCCTATCCTGGGAGCACAAGCTGGCGTACGGCTGACCGCCCATTCATACTCTGAACACCATGATTCGGGACTGCACTGGCTTCCGAGTGGCTTCTGTAAAACCTGCTGAGATGTTCAGGTGCGGTGGGTTGAAGAAAATTTTCAGTTTGGGGCGTGAGGGCTCCTGCGTCGAAGGCAAAACAAATTTCTTCAAGCCTGGGTGTCTAGGAAAGCGATCTGGTGTCAGGGTAATGCCATCGGGCCATCCTCGTAAAACAGTGCAAGAGTCAACAGAGACGCACGCTGACCAGCACGTCCTGAGGAAGTTTGCATCAAAGTCGTTTTAAGCCAGCCATCACCAAGGCGAGACGACTTAAACCTAGGCTCCTCAACTTCTGGCAGCTGCGCGACCATGCTTTCCTATCCTGGGATCACAGATTCCTCAAGCTGGCATAGGGCTGACGGCCCTACTCATACCCTCAACACCATGATTTGGGGACTGCGCTGGCTTTAGAATGGCTTCTGGCAGAACCACGCATGCTTCTCAGAATCCAAGCGAGCGTCAGCTGGTTGCAATGGGAAGAATCTGCAACACGGGTTCGTGACACCTGAGAATCAGTGCATAGCAACTTCTACCGGATTCCTCAAAGGGATCCCCATTATAGAAGCCTAGAGTACCCCAAGGGCACTCGTAAGGGACCCTTCACGGGGCTAGTGGTCCTGTCCTGCATCGGTACATGATCCGAAAACCTTCGCTGGGAATTAGTCTCTACCCATAGGCTCCACAGTGGTTCCTGTTTGGGAGTACCTTATAGGTTTCTAAATACGAACCACAGAAAGGAACTACTATGGAGCCTATGGGTATACACCTGAAACGATGACCGAACCGGGACCCGCTGGCAAGC